ATTGTTATAACTACAAATAGCTTTTATTTGCATGTAGATTGTAGTCACCTTAGTGAAATAGGTGGACTTTCCAACAGAATGTTTTATGGAAGACCAAAAGCAGACCCCAGAACAAGAGCAGAAACAGCACAAGTGGTAGAAAAATTAAATGTCTATTGGTAAGTAAATATTTAAATTTTAATTACAAACTTTGTTCTGTCTTCTTAATAAAGTCCCATAAACCCACAAAAGGTTAAGTTTAACATTTTCTTTAACAATAATACACCAACACTACATACTTTTTGAAAATATTTCATTTGTTCTTTGAAACATTTATACATGTATACAATGCTTTATTATTTTAAAAATACATTTTGTCTACCTCCCACTGGCAACCTCCCACATACCCTGATATTCATCAACCTGAAGTTCTGTGGTCTGAATGTCCTTTAAAAAAATTAATCATTAATAGCTCCTTAGTTCAATTAGTGCTGACCAAGTGTGAATGTTTGTGAAGCCATCTACCAGGACATAGTCAACCAACCTATCAGCAGCCACAAATCCAAGACAAATTCATTCCCTCCTTTCAGGACCATCAGTTGCCAATTGCTCCTCATTCATGTTGGAATTTTGACTGGCTTGATCTTGTGCAAGTCTAGTGTATGACACCCAGTTGCTGTGTGAGTTGATCTGTGCATCAGCTGTGTTCTGTCCAGAATAGGGCATTTCACAGTACTTCTCTCCATATTCATACTCCTACTCTTTTTTCTCCTAACCATTTTTCCTCAATGTTTATTGAACTTTTAGTAGTGGAAGATTGATACAAATGACCCATCTTCAGATGAGCATCACAGTAACTTATTCTGATAATTTTAAGTAGTTATGAATCCCTACATTAACTACTGCCTATGGCAAAAGAAATATCTCTGACCAAGGGTACGAGCAGACAAACCTATAGGTATAAATGTAAATAAAAGCACTCAGGCCAGGGAAGCAGGTAAGCTGACTGCAGAGTTTCACCTCTCCCTCTGCTCCTCTAAATCCAATTCTCCAGTCTCATCTCAAGCTCTGCAGCAGAGCACCAGCTGCAGATACTTCCCTCCCCTGTCCTCATCTCCAGTGGATCACAAAGATCCTCCTTTCCAATCTTTCCTCACCCTACTTTGTTTAAGCCAGCCCACAACTCTAAAAACCCACAGGCCAGTCTGGCCAGGGAAGTAGGTAAGCTACATGCAGATCTTCACCTCTCCCTCTGCTCTTCTAAATCCAATATTCTAGTCTCATCTTCAGACCTGCAGCAGAGCACCCTTCCCTGCTGACCCCATTTCCAGTGAATCACACAGATCTCCCCCCACACCCATCTTCTTTCCATACACTCACTGCATCGTCCCAGGCCCTAACTTCAGAAAGCGCTCCCTGGGAACCCATAGGACACTATGACCAGGGAAGTAAGCAAGCTAACTGTAGATCATTATCACTCCCTCCGTTCCTCCAAGTTCAGTGCCACAGTCTCAGCACCAGACCTGTAGTAGACCTTCTGCTATGGTCTCTCTTCTCTTTCCCCCCATTCCCAAGAGACTAAGCAAATCCTAGTGGAACACTCTGCTTTCCTCCCTCCTGACTTCCCCTGACCTCCAGACAATCCCCATTTTTAAGTGTCAGCTTCCAATACCTAGGAACACATTTTGGCTGGAATCCCCAGTAGCCACACCTATCAGGATTCCAGAAGAATCTCCTTCCAGACAACACACAGTCATTACTCTTCCCTGAGAACCAGAGGGGACAACCAAAACCATGGCACAAAACACCCAACTAACAAAGTCAAGACCAGATATCCACACTGAGAATTACAATCTTTGCAATCCCAGATGCCTGGAAGACAGTGTAAAAGCACAATCAGTAACAACCCAAACAATATGTCTCTGGTAGAGCCCAGCAACCATACCACAACAGCCCCTGGGATTAAAAACGTGTGTCACCATGCCTGGTTGTTTCCAGTGTGGCCTTGAACTCACAGAGATCCATGCCTCCAGAAGACTAGGATTAAAGGTGTGAGTGCCACCATTTTCTAGCCTCTGTATCTAGTGACTGTTCCGTTCTCTGACCCCAGATAAGTTTATTAGGGTGCACAATATTTTGGGGAACACAGTACCACCACATATACTCATATGTTAAATATTCTACAACAAGAATAGATTATATTGGCATATAAAAGAGAATATATTCATTCATGACAAAATTTTAACCTACAAAAGATTCTTTCATGAATTGAAAAACATAGAAACAGTGTCTTCCAGTCACAACAGGACTGATGCACAAATGAATTCACAGAGACTATGACAGAACACACAAAATATGCACAAGTTCAAGATACATAACCAAGTGGACACAGGTTCCCATCTCTAACCTAGATGCTAGCAGTAATTTATACCCCAAATCAAAGGGAACACCTATTTTCTCTAATGGAGTGGCAGTGGGTATATCTAAGTCTCATGTCCAGGTGTAGTTGGCCAACACAAAATAAATCCCAGGGTTTTTTGTATGTGTGTTAGGGGGACTTTGTATTTTGAACGTTTGTCTTATTTTTGTTTGTTTAGGTATTAGTTTTGTGGTGTGTTTTTAAAGATAGAACAAGAAGGAAAAACATAAACTTGGATAGGTCAGGTAGAGAGGAGGATCCAGGATGAGTTTGGGGAAAGAAAAAGAAGGATCAAATGAAAGTTTAAAAAAAAAAACCAATACTGTTGTAAATGTTAACAAAAATAATATGATTCTTAAGAATGAATTTTTTAAAGATGTAAAATATAATTCTAAGAAAAAAGAACAATGGTTGGCTAACGACTCCTGAAAGGAGAATTAGTCTCTTCCATGGACAAACACCCTAACTGATTCTGCACACAAAATAATCACATACTCTAGAGAGGGAGACATCCCATTTCCTTCTCTAGGCTCTACAGCGAATTTCCCATGACTTCCCCATTCAGACCTTTTTCTCATCCATGCCTTCTCAGCTATGCTCACTGCTACTCTATTCACAACAGCTAGGAATGGAAACAACTTTAATGTCCTTCAGCTGATGAATGGATAATGAAAATGTAGCACATACACACACAAGCAACATGACATCACTCAGCAGGTTGCATTTATCTATTTGTGTGTGTGTGTGTGTGTGTGTGTGTGTGTGTGTGTGTGTGTGTGTGTGTGTGAGTGTGTGTGTGTGTGCACGACAATAGTAATTTTAAAAAGAGGCTATCAGTTTGAGAGGTAATGGAGAGGACTGGGATAATTAGGAAGGTGGAGTCATTAGATGGGACCAAGGAAGGAAAGGGAAGGGTGAAGTGATGTAATTTATTATTTTAATCAACATATAACATGCGGTTTAAAAAACCTGTAACTTCAGAACTGGAGAGAGTGTGCAGTGGTTAAAGTGTTTCTTGCTCTTCATTAGAATTAAAAGTTCAGTTCCTAGAACCCACATCATGTGGTCACAACTGCCTATTATTCCAGCTCCAGGGAATCTGACATCTTATTTAAGCCACCTCAAGCACCTGCACAGAAATTTAAAGTAATTAGAAATAAAATATCTATTACTTCAATGGGGACACAAATAAACATCCAAATATATGACAAAATGAACACACAGTTTGCATGTGAAAGTCAGAAGAAAGAATGTGAAAACTATTGTATTAGTTTACATGGAAATCCCCATACACCAAGCACAGTAATTCTGTAGAGAGCATCAGCAGCAGAACATCAATCAGAGGAACATCAGAGTTTGAAATCAAAGTGGGTGTATTATTACAGTTAGACACTAACAAATTAAAAGTAATGACCACATCTTTCAAGATCCCTGGGATGTTGTTATTCAGAGATTGTACTTGTTAACTTTCTGTTTCTGTGATAAAACACCACGGCCAGAAGCATCTTTCAGAGGAAGAGTGTATTTAAACTTCCAGTTCCAAAGGCATAAGTGTCTATCATGGTGGGGAGAGTTAACAGCAAGTGACCGGCATGGGAGCAAGAAAAGGAGATTCTGTTTCAGCCACAGACAGGAATCAGAAAGCGAACATAGTGGGCAGAGACTGTAAACAGTCAAGGCCTGCCTCCAGGGACAGATGTCCTCTATCAAGGCTCCAGCTCCCAAAATTACTGCAACCACCTCAAACAGGACTACCACCTGGGACCAAGTGTTCAACTATCTGAACCTGTGTGGAACATTCTCACTAAAAGCACTGCAGAGACCAAATATAAAGATCTGACATTGAAGATGTTGTGGAGCTACTCAGGGCACAGAAAACACGTTCTGTGAAATAATAGCAGAAGGTCCCCACAACAAGGCAAATATATGGGCCCTGCTGTAGAGAAGACATTTAGAACCACAACAGCCATGGCTGGAAATAACATCTCCTCAGTGTGTTCGAATCATGTTAAAAGCACCTGCCACCACTCCTGGGCTCACAAAAAGTATAACTTAAAGCTTTTCACTGCATTGAAAATTCCAAAAACACAGAACCAAAAGCACCCAGAAAGAAGCTTTGAGAAGCTACCCTTTCCTACAAAGGCAAGCCCATCCATGACCTTAGTGGAAAAAAAAAAAAAAAAGACAAGAAAATATTTTAGAATGAAGAATTACACCCCCCCACCCCAAACAAAACAACTGCCAAGCAAGGTTACTGTTGGAAATAAAGGAATCCTTCAACTTTGAAGAAGAGACAAAGACCTTGCAGGATAAACATAGATTAAAGCCTAAGGAGACCGCCATGTTTACATTGCACATGCGCAGTGAGCACTATGTGCTTCCTGGGCTGTCAGTTATCCCCGAGGAAGACCCTGCAGGCTCTTGTTTATCAGTGTTGCTTGGCAACAGCTGTTCCCCCAACTGTCAGCTTCTGTTTGGCTGGTCAAACCGGAGCTTATCATTTCTGGGACTCACAGAGTTACGCTCTGGTTGGTAGACCGCCAGGGGTTAAAAGTTCATATTTCTTATTTAGTGTTGAGTTGACAAAAAGGAGGCCACAGTGATGTTCTCCACCCTGAGGAAGTTCTTCTGCTTTAAGAAAGAGCCAAAAACTCCCTTGGGGTTTTGTGATGGCCCGAGCAGCGGAAAGGGGAGCTTGTCGTGTTGTGACTGTGGGACAAAGGATAGGTACCAACAGCCTTATGACCCAGAAAATAAATTTCATGAAGCTGTGTGTCAAGGAAGGATCAAAGTGGTGCTGAAGCTCCTTTCTAGGAAGAAGTTTGACGTAAATGACAAGGATAAAAGGGGACGGTGAGAACACTTGGAAATTAAGGATGGGGGGCCGTGAGGAAATCGGGTGATGGGAGAATCCTATGTTTCCTAGCTCTGTTGAGGACAACAGGGGTGGCACCTGTGATCACAGAGACGTCCAGTGTCCAGATCGTCTTCTGGAGCAGGAGAAGCACAAGACCAAATCTCCAGGAGGTTTACCATCTCCCTATTACTCACCTATAGAGCGTTTTATTGATTATGCAATAGAAAAATGTAACAAAATATAAAGAAATGGGATTTAATTTCAATGAACACAAACACAATGCTACATAGATTGTAGAAAGTGCAGAATTCAGGTCATGTTCCTCATAATGTGTCTCCTATAAGCCCCTTAAAACACACGAGGGGCCAGGCACCTCCCCTAAGGATCTCCAAATGCCAGGCTCCACCCACAGAACTCTCTAACTGCCCTACAGGCTGGACCCTGCCCCCACTCTAGAGTAAAAAGTTCAATCTCTGGACTTGAAAGCCCACCACTCTCCACCCTGGAAAGCTTCACTCTGAAAAGTTCCACCGCCCCTCCCCAGGAAACTCTATATAAGCCCCGCCTTCTGCTCAGTTCTGGCCCAAGCAGAGGCAGCCACCCTCCTGGGTTTTTTTCCCTCCCGATAAATCTCTTGTGAGAGGTTTGTTGTATGATGTGACTTTGTAGCATTTCTTGGCTCCTGACTACCAGGATACCTTTCCATACGAGCTGTAATGCTTACCTTTTCTTTCACCTAAAACTGTGCAAACACAATTCAATGTGAATTTTATATGAATGTGTGCTAATGTTTATATTCCTTACTGAAGAATAATACAAAAAAAATCTAAACTTGAAAGATGGCTGTGTGCTCCTCCTGCTCTTTCATTTTCTTGTTATTTCTCACTAGTGTCCTAGGGATGTCATTCTCGCATCTCCATAGATTCCTCTTAAGCTTCACTCAGTACTTCATATCGTTCTGAGAGGTTGTTCAATGCTGCCTTGATCAGCCACAGTTTCCATAGCACCATTTTCTGACAAGCTCCAGGTTACTTCCAACATCTTTAGTTACTCCTGGTAGAGGCAAATAAAGCTTGCTGGGAGTTTCACAACTTCCAGAGCAGCAAACATCTTGCTTTTCCAATGTGGGCCCAACTTAAGGTGTCCTAAATCTCACTTGTGAAATTGCTATTGGATATTGACATTAGGCATAGCAAGGATCTGATTTTCATATATCCTATGAATTTAACTATTGTCAAGAATGAGCCACACTTACTTATTTGAACCCCAAGTTTCCTTTGGCTTAAATTCCTTAAAATCAAAGCAAAGCTTCCTGTGCATTTAGATTTTGTTACTAATTATCCATAGTACTTTCATAGCTAGTATTTTTTTTAAACTTCAGTGTAAAGACTAGAAATGTCATGAGTATATGTCACATCTCAGTGTAAGACACCATGGATTGCATGGTGACATTCTACTTTGTGTATTAAGAATTGCTTTTAAGTATTGACAATAATTATACATTATGAATTGTAAATGATTTTCCAATTTTGAATGAGTTAAAATATGAGGAAAAACAGAATCTTAATCTGGGCATTGAGTCACATCTACAATCCCAGCTACCTGGAGGCTGATGCACCAGGAGCATAAATTTAAAGCAGACCATGTTTCAAGTTTTGAAGATATTATCTTAGACTGTGAAATATATAGTCCTTAATATATTTGCAAAATAGATACAATGGAACTAACATTGACTTGGAATGTATTTGTTACAGAGTTAACATTAATCATTCAAATGTCTAGCAGATGTTTAGCTGTTGTTCAAGAATATTTTCTGAGTCATTGCAGAGGTTCTTATTGATGCATCCTAATTTGACAGGAGAGTAGTACTCCCTTTAAGACCCACTTTATGGACAAGGAAATCACAACACAGAAAGACTGAGAAGTAGTTGGTTGGTAATGGAGCCTAGAGCAGGATGCAAATTCATTAGCAGTTCAATCCAATAGTCATGTTCTTTCTATTCAAAATGGCTGCTCTTGGCTACCTAGCTGCAAGAGCTGTGGGTTTTATATTTATGCTACCACAAAATCTCTGCATAGTAAATTTTTCTAATATAATAAATAATAAGAGCAAACATATAATTTTAGAAAAAATTAAATATTGGTTTATGGATCAGAGATCTTAAATATTATATAATATTTGCAAATACATGAGTGACTGTGTATGTTGGCATAATGACCTACAGTTTCACTAAAAATATCTCTCATTTCCACAGAACCGCACTCCACTTCGCCTGTTTTTATGGTCATCTGCATCTGGTTTATTTCCTTTTACATAATGAATGCGACGTAAATGAACTTGATGATCAAAAGTCCACACCACTAATGAAGGTAGGTCAAAGTCTTCAATTTCAGAAATTAATTTTATATAAATGGTTCGAATGAAAGCAAAATTAATGTCACTTAAATATAAATCATGGTGAAGGGGGCAGTTAGGGGGACGTTTATGTTGAATTCTTTGAATTGATGATGTTTTCCTTTTTACAATATCCACAGGCTGTACAAAGCTGGGAGACAAAAATTGTTTCTGTGCTCCTTGATAACGAAGCAAATCCCAATATTAAAGATTCCAAGGGAGAAACAGCATTACATCATGCAGTATATGTAGACAGGCCTGACATTGTCACCATTCTTCTTAAATTTGGGGGAAACATTGAAGAAACTACAAAGGTAAAGATTTTGCAAATTGAATTCCTGAGTATCTGAAAACTATGTGCTTTAAAAATGTCGTGTGTAGGGCCAATTTTCCATGTTTAGGAGCTCAAGTATTTCTTGACTGGCACTTTGAAATAATTTGACTGGTATTCATTTGAATATTGATACTTTGTTACTGTTTGTTTTCTAACCCATTGAGTCCCATTTGTGCAGCCCATATACTATATGACCATCCAGTGGAGCATGACCAGCCTACCAGGGGCCACACCTTTAAATAAAAATGACTATCCCCTTCCAGCAGCTATCAGCTGTCAATATGTCCTCATCAAGGAGCAGAACTTCGTGCCAAATTCCTGTCTCTATACTGAATTTTGTGTCGCCTGAGCTTGCACAGTTCTTGAGAATGTTTTCACAATGACTATGACTTCATGCTCTGTTGTGCCGAGAGGCACTGTTTCTTTGTGGTCATCCAGTTCCTCTGGCTCTTGCAGACTTTCCCCTGATCTTCTGTAGTGACCTCTGAGACTTGAGAAGAGGGTTATATCAATGAGGACAGAAAGATGGGTGGGTAAAGAAGTGGGTTGGATTTGGGAAGTAGTTGAGGAAACCAGGTGAATGATCAAAATACACTGTATGGAGCTCTCCAAAAATGATTTTAGTGGTGGTACATGCCTTTAATCCCAGTACTCGGGAGGCAGAGCCAGGCGGATCTCTGTGAGTTCGAGGCCAGCCTGGTCTACAAAGTGAGTTCCAGAAAAGGCGCTAAACTACATAGAGAAACCCTGTCTTGAAAAACCAAAAAAAAAAAAAAAAAAAAAAAAAAAGATTTTAAATGGGGAAGAAAATAAATGTTCACTTATTAAAATATTAGAGATATATTGTTTTATGCATCTGTGGAAAATATTTGTGAAGTCGTTTATTGGACTTATAGTTCCAGATTACTGTATATTGTTGGAAAAAATCACAGAGGCAGGATCTTAAGACAGCTGTTTACGTCTTATGTAGCCTCAAGAGGGCTAGAAATTAATGAATCCATGCTGCCTGTTTGCTTAATACTTATCTAGCCCTCTGAAATCTTACACAGTTCTATTCCCACAATGGGCTACGGTGCCAAGCACAAAGGATTGGGTCCACCTCCTCAATTAACCACCAAGATAATTTCCCACAGCCACATACATGTAGACAACTGATGTAGACAATCCCTCAACTAAAACCCTCTTTCTAGGTCACTCTAAGTTGGTGTTGTTGGTAGTTAAAAATAATCACCACAGTGACTTTACTACATTTGAGAGTCTGTTACAATATGGTAGATTGCACTACTAATATTGGAGTTGCACACATACCAATGGATATGTGTGCATGAGGCAAAGGTTAAAATTTTAATGAATAAAGGGCTAGGGAGACAGTGAAGTCCATATATACCCTCCACAAATCCAGTGCACACCCAGTCTCCAGGAGAATTAAAAAAAAAAAAAAAACACCTGACTTTCTCCTGATCTTAAGAAATCAAATCCTATCTCCGTTGAGGCCACTAGATTGAACAGTTTCCTGCAGGGGGCACTTCCACCATCTACCATCCAAGTGTGTTTTATTTACTAACAAACCACAGCAGCATCTCCTCACTTTCCCTGCTTTGCCTATGCAAATGTTTGAGTCTATTACTCTTTTTTCTTAGTGCTTTTGATATAAATTTAGGGTGTCTGAAGATCAGTTTACTCCCTGGTCAGCTCTCATAGCATCCTCTCACTTTGTATGAGAGCTAGTCCTTGAAGAAGAGTCTAGAATCTCTGGGTTAGTTCCAGCTTGACTCCTTTCCGTCCTTTGTCTAAAATAGGAGGTGTCTTTAGCAACAAGATCTTGCATTCAAGTGACAGGAGGCAACTAAGAGCAGTGGCAATGGCTTATATTGTTTGGGAAATCTCTGGGAGTCCCAATAACTCCAGAGAAGGGTCCCTTTGCCTGGCACTGATTATTTCATTAGTTATGAGTTTGGGGAAAGCTTTTTCTCCCCTTGTGGCATAACTGTATATATACTACAGTAGATGGTTTTAATCTCATTGATAATGATAATCCTAGCTTTTACTCCCCTTGCACCACAATTGTATATATACTACAATAGATGGTTTTAATCTCACTGATAATCCTAAAACCATGATAGACTTTGAGTATTTAGGTTCTTAAGTAGGATCTCACCATTTAGCCCAGACTAAGCAGGATTGCACTGTTTAGCTCAAACTAACCTAGAAGTCATGATCCTCCTGCAACACCCTTCATTCTCTGGATGGAATACACTAAACAGTCAATTACACTGATCTGTATGCACTACCTTTAGTATACTACAGTCACTCAGTAATGTGGACTTAGACACAAAGCTGATAGAATTCAGCAGGTAGAGAGTATAACAGAAATCCACAACTGGTCAAAATTCAGAGAGTAAATGCCCATGGGAGCCTAGCCACAACTGAAGCATGATCCTAATTGTCTTATTAATAAAAACCCGGAGTCAGACATGGGGGTAAAAGCTGAAACATCAGAGAAGCAAAGGAGCAGTCACAGCCACCTCTTACCTCTCTGACTCTTTACACTGAAAAAGGCCAAGCTTCTGTCTCCACCCCACCTTATCACTTCCTCTCTTCTCCTAGCCATATCATTTCCTGTCTCCTGTCTGTACAGACCTCCAGACCTCTATGGTTAACTAATGGCTGGCTCCACCCTCTGATCTTCAGGCAAACTTTATTTGTCAGAACACGAACTAAATATTGAAACATTTCCCCCTTTTCTCTAAAATAAAAAGAGAAGGTTATAAATAACATAGGAAAACTATATACAATAAGTACAATAACTATATACAAATATATAGGCAATAATTACATCAACAATGTCTAATGTCTAAATCCATTAACATTTGACAAATTCAGAGAAAATAACCCAATGTCCAGACATAAACACACATACACACACACACACACACACACACACACACACACACACACACATACACACACATACACACAAAGAGAGACAGAGACAGAGACAGAGACAGACAGAGAAATTACCAACATTAAATGGAGTTAGTAGGTTGTACATGCACACATATGTATGTGGCAGTAATAAAGAAAAGGTCATGAATTTGACAGCATGAGGGAAAAAAGGAGGAATTGGAGAAGTGATGGGGTAGAAATTATGTAAATACTCATTAAATAATTTAAATTAAAAACATTTTTAAAAATCATGTTTTAGGCTTTCTAAACTATAAGACAGTTTTCATTTTATAAAAAGACAGAATCCATGTCAAGGTAAGCAATCAAAGTCTCCCTGAGTTCTCACTTATTCTGAGTCATTTTGTCAGTGACCTATTTGGAGCAGGGGCCTGACATTGTTTCCTCAACACAGAATCAGGCAGAGCTTCCCCTGCATCCTCAGGAAACTTCCATGTCATCACTAGGTCTGACAGTTGTGTCTCTTTAACAATGTCTGCTGTTGCCAATGTTTGCCCCACAGAAGATTTGCCAAACATCATTTCAGAAAACATTTTTCGAATCCTGGACAATTCCACAATTTTGTCATAATTCTTATTTTTAATTTTTATTTATTCTTCTCTTATACAATACATCCCAACCACAACTTTTTTCCCTCTACACCTCCAAGTCCCCCCTTCCCCTGCCCTCTCCACCAGATCCACACCCAACAACCACTGCCGCCCTATTGTCCCACCCGTCTGTCCCCAGAAAAGAACAGGTCTCTCAGGGACGTCAGCCAAACACAGCACAACAAAATACAATAAGACCAGGCACAAAACCTCACATCAAGATTGGGAGAGGCAACCCAATAGAAGCAAAAGTGTTCCAAGAACACGCCAAAGAGTCACACACACACACACACACACACACACACACACACACGCACACACACTCCCACTGTCAGGAGTCCGCCCAAAACACAAAGCCAACAGCCATAACGTATATGCAGCGGACCTAGCACAGACCCATACAGGCTCTGTGATTGCTGCTTCAGTCTCTGTGAGCCCCCATGAGCTCTGCTTAGTTGATTTCCTTGGGCCTTGCTCTCCCTGTATCCTCAACTTTTCTGGTCTCCCATAATTCCTCCTCCCCCTCTTCTGCAGGGTTCCCCAAGCTCCAGGGGATGGACCCAATAGAGACCTCCACCATGGGCTCTCTATCTGCCTAAGGTTTGGCTGTGGGTTTTAGTATCCTCTCTGATCAGCTGCCAAGATAGCCTCTCTGATGATGTCTGGGCTAGGCACCGATCTTTGAGTATAGCAGAATTGGGGATCATTTCATTGATTTGTGGGAGGTGGGGTGGGGGGGTCAGTTGTGTTTGGGTCTACCCTAGGTGTCTGAGCTATCCAGCCTTCAGTTTCTGGTCATCTAGACTGTGTCAGACATAGGCTCCCTCTCATAGCTTGGGTCTCAAATTTTACCTGTCATTGGTTGTTCTCTGCCACCACTGCCGCAGCACATCTTGTAGGCAGGACAGATTGTAAGTCAAAGATTTTGTAGCTGCGTTGGTGTCATACTTCTGAATTAAATCCCTCTGTTGGGAAATGGTGCATCTGCCACGTGTCTTTTGAAATACAGGAGAATTTCCGACATAGTGAAGAAAATTTAGCTTATCCATGTAAACAAAGGATTGAAAAACCTTCCTTACAGCCGGGCGGTGGTGGCGCACGCCGTTAATCCCAGCACTCGGGAGGCAGAGCCAGGCGGATCTCTGTGAGTTCGAGGCCAGCCTGGTCTCCAAAGCGAGTTCCAGGAAAGGCGCAAAGCTACACAGAGAAACCCTGTCTCGAAAAACAAAAACAAAAACAAAAACAAAAAAAAAAAAACCTTCCTTACTGTGTTTTGATTTGAGTCTCTTGAGATACTTGCAGGAAACTTTCATTAGATGGGAATAGTAACAGGACTCCAAAACACCGTGATAAATGCTGTGACAGGAACCAGTGGTTCATGAGACAAAAGTGTTCCTCCTGAGTTTTGGAGAGGACTGGAAGCCGTGTGACAGCTGTAGGCAGGGTTGGAGCTTTGCAGTGCTGAGAAGCGTGAGAAGGCACAGTGGACTGAGGAGGAGAAGACTTCTGGTCTCTAGTCTATGGTAAACATTATGTTCACGGGGCTAGCTATATTGTTTTCAGTCCAGTTATGGAACATGCAGTATTGTGAATTATTCATTGATGTCATTACAGGATGGATTCACCCCTCTGCTGCTAGCACTTCGAGAAAGGAAACTCCTCATGTCAGAACATTTAATAGCTCATGGTGCAAATGTTTATGCATGTGATGGTTTTCTAAGGTACTGTGTTCAACTTTTTAAAACACTACTGTGGTCTAGAATAGTAAAAATCACCCAGATAAAAAATATTATGGGAATATACTAGATATATCAATAAAACATCAGTTATAATAAAAACATCCTTTTTATGAAATAATTATAGCAAAGAACAATATATAGTCAGGTTCATATTCCCTATGACAATGAAAGTTTTTTTCTTATTTAGAATATTATTTTGTCTGTCATATAATCTTATATTAGCTGATAGATTTCATATTGGTGTTTTTGAAAAACACTAATTGAACACTATTAATTCAATTACTGATTCATCATGAAATTCTTAGTAACTTTATATTTTAATTTCTTCTAGAATGTGTAAAAATTAAAACCATAGGTTAGATGACTCTTTGCTTTAAATTTCTTTCTTTGAATAATACTTAAAAATCTGAGCTCTGAGCATTCAAGATGCTTAAGTATGATTAGTAAATGGTCAATGCTGCACACAGGCCATACATTTAATTCACAAAATATATTAAATTCACTGTTTAAGTAATTTAATTGTCTCTGTCATTCTAGAACAACACTCATGTATGCAGTTAAATGGGATTCTGAAGAAATTGTTGAGATTTTACTGAAGAAAAATGTTGATTACTCCTTAAAGGATATCTTCGGATGGAACGCACTGCAGTATGCCATGGCAGGAAAGCGCAAAGTGTAAGTATACACATCAGGATACTAATGAGCCCTGAATTTAGGCACAAATTATTTACAAATGTATTTTCCACCAGGCGAGACTTCATTACTTAAATACTTTTGGAATGGAGATATTTTAGTCAAGTCCACCTGCCATGAAGCAAGCAAAAGGATTGATTAGTCAGAAGTGGCAATGAGTGCAGGGGACTTTATCTCAGGGCTGATTTATGTCATGGTGATGGTGGATCACACCCAGGGACCTGATTGTACTGGGCATATGTTCTACAACTGAGTGCCACCCCAGCCTCTTTTTCTATAGCTTTAAGATCTTTACCTTTGAAGATCCCAGAATCCTCCATTTCATTCCAGTATAACAGTAATGCATGGTATTGAGTTTTATTTTTTGAATTATTTCTTTGAGTCTCAAAGTTTGTAGTTTAACAAAAAATCCTATTACTTTCCTCTGGGAAATATTTTGTCTATCCTACTCCCTGAGTGCCCAACAATGTAACAAGTTCCCTAAGTCCTAGGAAGCCAAACCTCTTATGGATGTCAGATAGACGTGGCAGACATGATGAACCTGGCAATCATTTGTTCATGGGAATTGATGTGATGAAACCTGTCCTTCAGTCTGGTGCTGATTAACTTTGACTATCAGACTACACCTCCTGATTGTCATCTGAGTCTTTATCATAATAGTCATGGAGTCTTGAGAGCTAGTCCATATGCCCATGTGTTTGTAAATTCAAAATATTCCCATTACAATAGTACTGTACTCTGGCAGCCCAGACTCTAAAATTTCCCTACAACCATTGCTAGGCAACTGAATCTGACCATGTATTCAAAGCATTCCAGTATCCTAGAAGATCATCACAGTAAGAGACTTTGGAGAAGTCTCTTTTCTGCCATGAAATGGGTTTGTGGATATACTAAGTTATTACATGGATCCAAACATTTGCAGAAATAAGCCAGAGATGCTTTTTTCTTTGTTAGTAGTAATCTGTATGCAAAGGTTCCTTTGCATCATCCTCTGAAGCACAGACTGTGGTTGTGTCAGATCTCTATCACCTTTCCCAGGGAAGGTGACAGGACATGATTGGTCTACCAAGTGCCTTTTCCATATTAAGGAACATTTCTCAAAACACTTTTGAGTCTGTGCCTCAAGAATTCAGAATATTTTCCAACTTTGCCCCAGAAGGAAGAAACTGAGTACAATTCTCTGAATCTAAATTCTATTAACCGTATTTAATAGCTAAGTCCCATCACATCTCATTAGTATGCTTATGCATGTATGAAAAATGATTCTGTCTTCTGTGTCAGTTGAGGATTAGCATGGAGACTTAGGATCAACATGATAAAACTCAGCTACCTTAGTATTTCATTGTTGAGTAATGGAAGAACAGCAATAGACCAAACAATGTCTTGGCATTCATTAGTGTTCTTACCTGAGGCTAACTCTTTACTTCACTAATAACAATATCTTAGATTTGTAGCATTTGAAAATAGGCACATTGATGAAATGCACAGTGGTTTGCATTTGGGATTCTAACCAGTTCAAGATTGAGAAGAAAATTATATACTGATTTACTACTACTGTGCATATTTTTAGGTGGTGAAATTTTCATAGCAACCTGGTGTACTCAAGTAGTAAATCCTGAGATTTGGAGCCTAAGAAACACTGTCTCAGAACAAGGAGACATAGGAATCCTTCTACTACCAGGGTACCTCCTATCCTGTCAAGATAATCTGGATGGTTTGAACTATATTGCCATTGACTAGACATTTCACTTTATCCTTTCCTTCTTCAGTGAGAAACTATAAAAAGGTTTAGAGCTTATGAACTTGAAAGGTATAGCAATATGTTCTGGCAAAAATCTCTGATACTTTTTAATACTCAAGAATTTAATATATTGATAAGTGTTTTCCTATCAATATTAAAATAATAACTTTATTACCACCATTTCTGCTCATGGAAGAAAGAGTATAATTTTGGAGTATGAGGACTCACTATTCTCAAGTCAACACAGTGTCTTCGTAGGTAAGTCTTCTTCAGTTTCTTTCTCCATAGTTCTTCCTTAGAGAGATTGGAGTAAGACTGCTCTGATTTTCTGTAATAGGATATCATTTGGGAATATGCTCATGAGTAGTATAGCGGGATTTTAGGGTACATCTACTCCCAGGTTCCGGAAGAACTGCCGCACTGCGTTCCCTAGTGGCTGTACAAGTTTGCACTCCCACCACCAGTGGATGAGGGTTCCCCTTACTCTACATCCTCAAAGAGGAGTTTTAATTTTTAAAATACATTTTAATTGAAATATAATCACATCACTTTCCCCCTATCCTTTCCTTTCTCTAGCCCCCCGCCTCAGCAGTTTTAAAATCCAAGTGTCTATTGAAGTAAAAATTATTTAAGAAATTAGTTGGATAAAACTGAGTTGTCTAAAGTGTATCAGTTTTGCACTGGAAACGAATACTTGGATCTAAAAATATTTTTAAATTAGCACGTTGAGATGACAAGCCTTCTGCTTTTGTCTAGCCCCCAGAACATATAGTGTTCTGAGTAAGTTTTTCTTTCAGAAAGTGTTAACATGTTGTATATTTCCTTAATAGTCATCACCCTACACTGTATTAGAATTCTTTATTTTTCTAATTTATTCTGTTTTATGTGTGAGTGTTTTGCTTTGCATGTATGGATGGATACTATGTGCACGTCTGGTGCTTGTGGGAATGAGAAGATGGAGTTATAGATGACTGTAAAACACCACATAAGTTCTGGGAACTGAACCCAGGTCTTCTCCAAGAGCAACAAGTGCTCTTAACTTCTTTTCAGCCACCCCTACATATTATACTTCTGTTAAAAATGCACTTTTACTTCACATTAATAATGAATAATGAAAAATGCATTTTTATTTCACATTAATAATGAATGCATTGCAATAAGTGACCATGTTTACTTTTTTAGAGATGTCACTGAAAGCGTGATTTGTATCAGTAGAACAAAACCCAATATTTACTCATTTTCTGATTTCCTTTCCTAAGTATATAATTTAAATGATTTTTCATTTTTATACATTTTAATTAAAGTATAATTAGGTCACTTTCCCTTTTCCCTTTCTTCCCTCCAGCATCTCCACACTCCAGCTTCTTCCATGTCCCCCCCCCAGTCTCAAATTGATAGTCTCTTTTTCCCTTATAATTATTGTTAAAAAAACCGGCATGCACGCACATGCATGTTTGCATATGTATGTATGTATAACTACAACCTACTGAGTTTAGTTTTATTATTGTGTTTATATGGTTTCAGTACTGACTACAGTTTCATTGGACAACCAATTAGGGGACTCATCCCTGAGCGATACTAACTCTCCCTGTCTCAGCAGTCATTAGTTTCCTATAGTTCCTTACCCAGGAGCATGACCCTCTGAAAGCCCCTCACCTCTTCTTTGTTAGCATGTCTTTTGATATTGCCTTTGTTCAGATCTTGTTTACGCAGTCATTTCTATGAGAGATTGTTTCACAGCAGACTTCCAGACTCCTAGTCTTTCTAACTGCCTCTTCTGTGATGTTCCCTGAGCCATAGATGCTGGAGTTGTGATGTAGATGAATCCATTAGGATGGGGCTCCATGCTTTCTGTGGATCTTGCTTTGTGTCTCCTTGTAGATTGTGGTGATGGTCTCTGTTTGCTATAAAGAGACACTTCTTTGATGAGAGGATCTGTTGATCATGTTTGTCTTTAAAAATCAGCTCTTAGATTCTCTGTATTCATTGATTCTCTGTAGTGTTTTCTTTGTTTCTAGTTCATTCATCTCTGCTCTTTAATTTTTATTTATTATTTCTTGCCATCTACTGCTTGAGGTTTGGCAGTTGTTTTTCCAAATTCTTGAATGGCATCATTAAGTCATTTATTTTTCATCATGACTTTTCAATGTAGGCACTTAGGTCTATGAACTGCCCTCTTAGAACTGTCACAGAAGTTTTGATGTGTTGTGTTTATATTTTCATTCAGTTGAGGATTGTTTTTCTTTCTTGATTTCCTCTTTGATCCACTCAATAATGAGTTGCTTAATCTCCATGAGTTTATATACATGCTACAGTTTTATTTGCCGTCAACTTTAAGTTTTACTATACAATAGTCAGAGAGGGTACATGGCATTATTTCAATTTTATGTATTTCTTAATGTTTTCTTTGTGTACCAGCATAAGCTCTACTTTAGAGGAGCTTCTGCGTGCTTCTGAGTAGAATGTATCTTCTTGGGCGTTTAGGTGGAATAATATAAATATCGGTTAGGTCTATTTAATGACATTTAATTCTGTGGCTCTTTGTTGATTTTTTTGGCCATATAACCTATCTATTGGGAACATTGTGGTTTTGAAATTACCTCCTTTTATTGGGTTCATGTTCATCTGTGCCTTTAATTCTGTCAAGTTTACTCTTATGAAGTTAGATGCACCAGAGTTTGGTGCATATATGTTAAGTAGTGTAATATTTTCTTGATTAATTAATACTTTGAGTAGTATGAAGTGCCTTTCTTTGTCTCTTCTGATTCATTTTAGTTTGAAATCTATTTAGTCAGATATTAGGATGGCAATACCTGCTTGCTTCCTGATTCTATTTGCTTAGAATACTTTTTCCATCTTTTCATTGTCAGATAGTGCCTAAAATTAAAACTAAGATGATTTTTTTTGTAGGCAACAGATGGTTGAATTTTGTTTCCTAATCCATATAGGTAGCCTTTATATTTTGCTTGGAGTGTTGAGGTGACTACTATTTGGAATTGTTATTGAAAGTTGTGTGTAGATTGCAGTCTTTTTTTTTCTTTTTGCTATTTTGTGTTTTTGTCTTTTGTATTTCATTAAATTATAGCTTTGTTTTCATTCTAAAAGTCTCTAGTTACATTTATTCTTCTCTTCAGTTAAAAGTATTTCATTCAGTATTCTGCTTAGAGTTTTTGCTTGATATCATAGTTTAGATTGTTTTATGTAAAGACTTTCTTTCTCTTTCAACTATGCAGACATATTTGCTGGGCACAGGAGCATTGGTTGACATGCACGGTCTTTTAGTATGTGAAGTACATTGCTCCAGACTCAGAAATCAGCTGTTATTCTGATGAGTTTTCATTTCTAAGTGACTTGTGTGTTTCCTTCTCTTGCAGGTTTCAATATTTTCCCTTTCCTGCATATTTAGTATATTATATCACTATCATGTGCTTTGTGGTGTTTCTTTTCAGGTCTTGTCTAGTTGGGGTTCTGATTGTTTCTTGTATCTTTATGTGTGCATCTTTCCTTACTTGGGTAAAGTTTTCTTCTGTGATCTTGTTAAAAATCTGGTCTATGCTATTGACCTAGAGTTATTCTCCCTCATCTATGCCTATAATTCAAAGATTTGATTCCTGAATAGGCCTTTGCTTTGTTTTTTATTTTTTCATATTATTTGTTTATTTTGTCTAGATCTTCTCCTTTATCTTCCTTTCCTGATATTCTATCTTTTGTCTGATTTCTTATATTGGTAAGGCTTTCCTCTGTGCTTTATAATTGGATATTGAAATTTTCAAATTGTATCTTTATTTTAGACATTGATCTTGAGCTGGGCCTTTGGGTATGGAGATGGTCCCAATGGGAAATGGTTGGATATAGGAAGGGGAAGAAGTGACTTACCCAGCAAAGGTGGCTCACAAACAGAGGGTTCACAGCCTCAGTTCTAGAATAGACTTGTGAGTTTGCAGAGAAAGTTGAGAAGCAACTTCACCAGCAAAGATAACTAGGAAACATAGATGTCATGCCTCCTGCAGATCTAAAACAAGGCATGTGGGTTTGGAGATAGAAGAAGCAGGGAGTGGGATGGGAAATAGAAGAGACTTACCCAACAAAGGTTACTGTCTTAGTTAAAGTTTCTATTGCTGTGATGAAACACCATGACCAAAAAGCAAGTTGGGAAGGAAAGGGTTTGTTGGCTTACACTTCCAGATCATAGTCCATCAGCTGGAGCTGATGCAGAGGACATGGAGATGAGCTGCTTACTGGCTTGCTTCACATGACTTGCTCAGGCTGCTTTGTTATAGAAACCAGGACCACCAGTACAAGAGTGGTCACACTCACAATGGGCTGGGTCCTTCCCCATTGATCACTAGGTGAGAAAAAGCTTTATAGCTGGATCTCGTAGAGGCTTCTCCTCAACTGAGGCTCCTTTCTCTCTAATGACTCTAGCATGTGTCAAGTTGGCACAGAAAACCAGCCAGCACAGTGAAGACACTTTCTCAAGAGTAATGCCAATAGGATATTACTGTGTATTGTCTTTGTGTTTTATATAAAAGGAAAACTAATTTTCTAACCCAATAGAAAGAACTTTAGTGATTGATTAAGTGAAATATATGCACATACCTAGGTATGCACCTATAATTTCATAACAATCCATCTTCCATAGCAATTTTCTCTAACCTTGTCTTCCATATGAGCAGTGTGCAGAGTGGATATGTACTGAAGGAAGTGAACTTACCCATGGTTATTTCCAAAGGTAGCAAGAATAGCAATTGAGTTTCTACCTTATTACATCATAGGTAAGAATGAGAATTACAGCCATATATAAAAGAGCTCATGACCATCTAACCCCAGAGGAGATCAGGGAGGTGAGGAGCATTGATTTTGCCTTTCCTCTTTCCTGATTCCTTACAAGTCTTTATGAGAAACATTGTCCTGAACACTTTCCATCATCTTATGGGGGATTGAAAGGTACATTGAAAGGTACAATGCTTATTGACTCAGGTTCTCTCTTATTCAAGACAAACTACTCTCTTTGCTGGTTAGTTATGGTCAGTACTGATTCTGGCATTGGTACTCTTCCATCAGTCTGATAATTCATTCGAGATTATGGTCACTGTACATGGTCACTTACTTTTAGGTATCAAATGCTAATAATTTCTTTCATTCTTTTATTCAATAAATTCAAAGAAGGTGAAGATTTCTTGATGCATCAATCATTTGCCAATAGCATAGTTATTATTTACCCTAGAAACTTCTTCAAGTATAAGTATTATTTTTTTTAGAGTAATATCATCTACTGAAATATGTCTTACTATTGCTTCAATCACAGGAAAACAGCTCGGAGACATCTCTCAATCAGGGTAGGATTTTGGAGTGTTTAAGAATGAATGTTAAGTTATAATTTGAACAAGGGAAAAGAAGCTAGTGTCTACTGAATGTTATATTCTTGACTATATTCCATGTGATTCACTTAATGTACTTTATGTATTGGTATAATCATATGTATTTAAGCATTTGTATCATTGTAATTAAGTGTCTTACTAGTTTAGCAACTGTCACCCAAAGAGTTTGATTAATTCCAAGTAGCCAATTCATGAATTAAAGGTCAGCCTGTGCCTTCTCTTGCTCCTCTAACTACACTGAGATGGTCCCATATAGAAAGCTAGTTTTTGTTATGTGCCACCTCTAGGTCAGAGTTTTCCTGAGAAACCTAGCTAGAGCTCAATAGTTTGTCTGAATCTTTTGGCAGTTGCTGTTACTCAGCACATTGATACATCAGACTACCATCAAAAATTGGAGGGAAAAACCTCACTTAACTGTGTGCATAGTGTCATAGGTTTGAAATGAACAAGATGAGAGAAGTCTTGGATTTATTTTATTAGAATTGTACTGCATGTGCACATACACCATGTTATGTGTATCATGTTTAGCAACTATTTAAAGAGCATTATTAATTTATTCTCAGTTTTGTTTTCTCTTCAAACTTCCCAAGTAAAGGAAGGATTTCTTTTTTATCAAGTTTTTGTTTCCCTATGACATCAGGCTTCTTGAAATTTTAATGTACATTTTACTTTTCTTCAAGTTTCTTTACATGTAGTTTAGAATTTTTGTTAGCCAAATATCGCTTCTTGTTTTTACTGAAGAATCTCAGATTCTAAAAATTTTGAGTTTTCAAAAAAAAAAAATATCCTGGGCACAGCAAACTAGATTCAACATCCTAGGTAATGGTGGTTCTGATGAAACACCCAAAGCTAAAAGACAGTGTTCTGTGGAGATGAATGGTCCAATTTGGATGCACACGTTATGGTCCAATTTGGATGCACACTTTCGTTAACTAGAGGACTGGGTATCTTCCCTGCTCACCAGTGTTTGAGTGCCTCAGTAGGAGAATAGGGGAGTGAGTCCAGCGTCCCAAGTGGAAGAGAACAAGAATGACATCACCAAGTGAGCCCAGTGGTAGACGATTAGAATGGCTTTAACAGGGGAAGGGCAATCTTAAAGGAGCACCAAGGTGGTCAACAGGACTAAGAGTTTGGGCTTACAATGAAAGACAATAAATCTATTTGTAAGGACACAGGATATTGATCTTCTATAACTAGATATTAAAATAGGACTGAAAGTAATTTGTAAAATATGTTGCCTTTTGTGGTTAATTGTAAGAAATGACAAATTCCAGAATTCTGTTGAAATTACTTGAGACACAGTGAAGTCTTTATAGAAAACAGAAATGTGTCACAAAAGATAGGCTAGAGAATGTTCAGTACCAAGAATTGGAAGGAACAGAATGAAATTTGTCTGTGACCCAGGGCAACTGCTTCCTTTCCTGTGTATCTTTTCCCAAGTCATATCTATCCTTTTCAGATTCAAATGTGCAACATCTTCATAGAAAGTAGTAACATGTACAGGCTTGGGGCTGGTACTGCTCCCCCTCCATTTACCTTATTTGCCTGAAGCAGGGAGCTAGCTGCTACTCAGGTTCTTTGAGCCCATACTTTCAGGAATCTGCACCTTGCTGGGATGAATATTTAAAGACTGGAGAGCATCACTGAAGACTGCAGAAGAGGGAACAAGGAGTGGTATCCTATAGAAGGAAGACATCTAGAGAATGTAGAGGGAAACAGAGGCAAAAGTACAAGGGATCTGCTTTTCCAGAAGTCTCTGACGTCGACTGGGCACATGAAGGTTTTTAAGTGATTGGTGGTAGTTGAATAAGCCTGAGCCAATTAAGAAGCATAATTGAGTAATTTACATTGTAATGTTTGACCCTCCCTGAGAAGAGCATTCCTAACAGTAATTACACATTTATATATTCATTTATAAATTTAGTATTCAAGCATTTTAAAAGTTTTTTTTTTTTTTACTACTTCATTAGATGAATGAATGTGGTGGTTTCCTTTCAATGTCTTTTTTTTTTTCATTCTGAAGAATGAAGGCTACCATTTATACAGTTTGGTGTTTTATGAATAGGGAATAGAATAGAAGAGACACTGTATCCTTCTACCTTCTTTGAGTCTATCATTTTATTTAAATTTATGTGAACAATTGATAGTAATTTGGGTGCAATCATCAGGACAGACAATTTTCAAGACAAATGATTTTCAGGTTCCACCAAATTATTGATTGATAGTATTTAATGTGGAACTATGTATGAATTCTTATTAGCAAGTGCAGAGATTGGGAAAAGTGGAGGCAGAAAGTAACAATTGAAAGAATTTTATAAACCAAACATTTAATAACAATATAAAGAAACACCATTTGCTATTCAAATAACTAAACTTTCAGAATATTTTATAGACTACTACTAACCTGTTCTGTTGTGTGTTTTTGCTTGAAAGATATTACCTCAAGTCGGAGTCATTGATTTCTGTGTGTTCAAGGACTGGAGAAGCTAATTTTGAAACTCAGGTAATCAGAGCCTTTTTGAGAAAATTCCTGGACTGAATTTGTTCTTTGTGGTGTTTGAACTGTTAAAATATATATAGCTGTTGTCAAAATGTCATAATTTTAGATAGACAGTTGGCTAAATAAAAACTTTTTTATAAAATTATGACAATTTTAATGTCTTTACTGAGAAAATACTAAAACATGGTAATTATTTTAATGTCATGAAAGCCAAAAGTGAGGTTAAAAAAATTAGTAATCACAGGGAAGTTATAGTTATAGTTTTACCACAGTAGAGGAAATTTGAAATTTGGGATTATTTGGATAAGTAAACCTTATATGTTTTATTTTTTATTCCGAATAGTATGACTTTCATAATTTTCATGCTTCTCTAAATACATAGACTAGCCTATTATTTATGTTAATCAAGGTATCTAGCCAATAGCTTACATTTCAAAACAATGTATCCTAGAGTATAGAATTTAGAATTAGTTTTTAAAAGTCTTTTACTTATGATCTAAGTTTGCTTTTTTTTTTTTTACAAGAGCACAAATCCACTTTTATTTTTTTACTTTCATTAGTTTAAATCCGGGAAGGGTACAGCATCACACGGATTCTGTGTCCAATGGCCTTTGCAGGAAGCTTGCTTCGGAATTTGGCACGAACCATGCCACTGTTTCCATGGGCCCGGGTTACTTTTCCCCAGATCACTCTGGGTTGGCTTGGTTTGCCTCCAGGTGTCACTGTGTTGTGTTTTGCTTTATACACATAAGCACATCTCTTGCCTACGTAGAATTCAGTTTCATCTCGAGCATAAACACCTTCAATTTTAAGAAGAGCTGTATGCTCTCTCTGGTTCCGGTGACCTCGCTTATAGCCAGCAAAAATGGCCTTGCATGAAAGCCTTCCAGACATATTTGCCTTTTAGAAGTCCTGTTCCCAGCAGGCCTTCACCGGCGCCAAAATGGGGGAAAGAGGACGATCTAAGTTTTTAAAAGAACTTTTTATGTCTTAATACTCTATTTAGAAAAATATTATTTAAAGTTATAAAAACTTAGAAATTCAAAATCTTTCTCTTAAAATTAGTATAATAATAGATTTGAATTACTTTGTTCTGATAATATGTTGGAGCCAGGCATCATGGCACACACTCTTAATCCCAAAACTTGGGAAACAGAGGCAGGTAGAACTCTCCATGAGTTCAAGGCCAGCCTGGTTATATTGAGTTCCATCTTGCCCAGCAAAGAATGTATAATGAGATACAAAAAGAATATTTTTAAGGCTCTTCATATAGTTGTACAAATTTGTACTTCCTTCAGCCCTGAATAAGTGTCCCTTTTCCCCACATCCTCACCAGCATGAGCTCTCATTTGTTTTATTGTCTTAATCATTTTGACTTAGGTAAAATAAAAATTCAAAGTGGGTCTCGAAAAAACCAAAAAAAAAAAAAAAAAAAATTCAAAGTGGCTTTGATTTACATTTCCCTGATAACTAAGGGTATTGAACATTTCTTGAAGTGTTTCTCAATCATTTGTTTCATCTTTTGAGAACTCTCTGCTTAGTTCTGCACCCAATTTTTTAAATGGGTTATTTGTTTTCTTGATACTCAGTTTTGTAATATGAATTGCTAAACAGTCTTATTAATAAAAACCTGAGGGCCAGATATTGCGGTGAAGAATTGAGAGATCAGAGGAATAGGAAAAGCCACAGCCGACCTCACCTCACCAATACCTCAGTCTCCAAACAGACCTGCTTCCTGTATACTCATGCCTATATGCCTTTCTGTTCTGCCATCTCATTTTTTCTCTCCACCCAGCTACATCACTTCCTCTTCCTGCCCAGTTCTGTCTGTACAGACCTCCAGACCTTTATGGTTAGTGCTGGGATTAAAGGTATATACCACCATGCCTGGCTCTGTTCCCAGTGTGGCCTTGAATTCACAGAGATCCAAACAGATCTCTGCCTTCGGAGTGATAGGATTAAAGGCATGTGCTACCATTGCCTGACTTCTATGTTTACTATAGTGGCTGGCTTTTTCCTCTGATCTTCTGATAAACTTTATTGGGGTTTATAGATAAAATATCACCACACAGTTTTAGTTCTTTGTATGTTTTAGATGCTAATCCTCTATCAGATGTATAATTGGCAAAAGTCTATTCCATTCTGTATGCTACCACTTGGTTTAAATGATGCTGTCCTTTGCTATGCATAAGTTTTTCAACTTCATGAGGTCCCATTTATTAATTGTTGGTCTTAATGCCTGTACTATTGATATCTGGTTCAAAAATCCCTTAACTGTGACAAGGAATTCAATCCTATTTTAGACTTTTTCTTCTATCAGAGTCAGGGTTTCTGGTCTTATGCTGAGGTCCTTGATTCATTTGGAGTTGAGATGTTTGCAGGGTGATAGATAGGGATCTATTTAATTCTTCTACACACAGCCATCTAGTTTGATCTGAATCATTTGTTGAGGATACTGTGGTGACACAGAATTCTTCAACACCCTAGGCTATGGCCAAGGCTACTAGTCACACTCCACAACCTATTAGGAAGGTCATCTTGCTGAAGACAACACTTACATATGTCATCAAACATAGAGGAGTTGGGCTGGTGCCCATCCTGAAGCTTCACTCCTGTTGACTAATATTCATAGTGTTGGATGGGTGATATACTTTATGCTGCCAGAAGAGAAATATGACAATGACTATCACCAGCTACAAGTGTTGTGACCTACAACAACGACCTGTCTGCAACATATATTGGTCCCATAGTAGCACAAATTACAAACCACTTTTGATTAGATATAGGCACTAGATGAGATGGAATACATACTTGACACTGCTAAAAGGTCCAAGAACATGTGACTAGACCATTAAAGGAATATGGGGGGGGGGAAGAGTCCTAAAGACATATCACTATAGCCATAGATCAGTGCCTTGTCCAATCAGAGAAGTTTCTTCTTGCAGTAGATGGGAATCAGCATAGATATCCACACCTGGACAATATGCAGAGTTAGATACTTTGGAGCTGTCAGTCACAAATGGGATATCTTCATCAAATCTGCCCCCTAAAGTTCAAGGTCTATGTAAAAGAGGAGGCAGAATGATTTTAAGAGTCAGTGGTTATGGATAAGTCCAAGGAAACAGTGTCTTCCAGACACAACAGGACCAAGACCAGTGTACATATGAACTCAGAAACTGTGTCAGCACACAGATGACTTGCACAGGTTCCAACCAGAGTCTCAGCACTGAAAGGTAGAAAAGGACATGTGTAGCCATATGTTTCTTGGGTCCCATCCAGCCCACCATCGTCCAGAAAAATCTCTCTCACCTGCAGTACAACAGTCACTTGGACCCAAGTAAATACACAGAGGCTTATATTATTTACAAACTGTATGGCCTATGGTAGGCTTCTTGCTAGCTAGCTCTTATGTCTTAAATTAACCCATTTCCATTAAACTATGTTTTACCATGTGTTCTGTGGCTTACTGGTCTGCTGGCATGTTGTTCCTTGAGTGGCAGGCTGGCATCTCCCCAGACTCTGCCTTTCTTTTTCCTGTCTCTCTCGTTGGATTTCCTGCCTGCCTCTAAGCTGCCTTGCCATAGGCCAATGCAGCTTTATTTATCAACCAATCAGAGCAACATATATTCACAGCATACAGAAAGACATCCCACAGCACTTCCCCCTTTCTGTCTAATCAAAAAGGAAGGTTTTAACCTTAATATAGTAAAAAAAAAAAAACAGTTAAGTAAGAATTATAGTAACAATAGCCAGTCCATTTGCATTTGACAAAATTAGCGAAAATAATTATCTATCTTATCTTGGTGAGTCTAAAATTCTGTATCTAATTTATCCTTTATTATAACTAAAGAAAACTATAACTATCTAGTCTTCAACTCCATCAAAGACCCCAGAAGGATATAATATTACCTAAGTAAACAGGAAGTACATTGTAAGCAACTTCCAAAAATCTAGAATGACAGAGACATCAGGCTGCCTAGAACGTCATCCAAAGTTCCTCTGCAACACTGGGGCATCCATCTTCGGCCTATAGGTATAGAATCTCTGGCAGACATTTCAATGAAGCAGGAAATTTGAAGAATTGTTCCCCCCATTCTGGCGAAGTTCATCAATCACTTCTTCCTGTGTCCTGTTGAATGTCTGGCAGTTTCTTCTGAGAAGCAGGAACCTGAAGGATCATCTCAACTTGTAAAGTTCAGTGGTCATCTTCCCATAGGTTCTGCATGTCCAGTCTATATTATATACTGTCAAACAGTCCAGGCAAGGGCACTTTTTTTTTTTGCCCAGTGGCTAACTTTTGCCATAAAGAAAGCAAACTCTATAATGAGTTTCTTTGATGCCCATCATCCTCTTTGAAGTAATTGGTGCTTCCAGGAGCAGATGTGTCTCACTGTCCAGAAAGTCTTAAGTTTTTAAAACATTTTAAATGCCATATTCTGTTAAGTCTTTGAAGTGTTTGAAGATTACCTACCTAATTGAAATATATCTCTGTATATCGAAAAAACTTAACTAACATGACTCTAAGTTTGATTATCTTAGATGACTATTAATCTGTATTTTTAATTATATATTACAATTTTAAATGAGCTGCATAAAAATAATACTTTAAACAAGAGTAGAAATAGTATAACAAAATTAACTTTAAAATTGTATCAAGCTAAAATCTATAGCAATGTAAAACATTTTAAACAAGTTGTTGCTCGTTAAAAGTAGATTCAGTGATCTACCCTTTTATCCTATCATATCCATACTATCCCCTTTTCTTATTAAGAAAGAGATTGCAACCTTCCTTTTTTGATTAGACAGAAAAGGGAAAGTGCTGTGGGATGTCTTTCTGTATGCTGTGAATATATGTTGCTCTGATTGGTTGATAAATAAAGCTGCATTGGCCTATGGCAAGGCAGCTTAGAGGCAGGCAGGAAATCCAACGAGAGAGACAGGAAAAAGAAAGGCAGAGTCTGGGGAGATGCCAGCCTGCCACTCAAGGAACAACATGCCAGCAGACCAGTAAGCCACAGAACACATGGTAAAACATAGTTTAATGGAAATGGGTTAATTTAAGACATAAGAGCTAGCTAGCAAGAAGCCTACCATAGGTCATATAGTTTGTAAATAATATAAGTCTCTGTATGACTATTTTGTAAGTAGCTATGGGACCACGGGGCCAAGGAGGACTGGAGAAAACTTTGACTCCAGACACAGGCTGCTATCACTAACCAGGACACTCTTTGAAATTGATATCTTCTGGCAAAAGGAAAATCAGTTTTCTGCTTGGAGTATCACTGGGTATATCAGTGACATTCCAGGGCAGACCCTATAGCAGGAATAATTGATCAACATAAAGCAAATTTTGTGGGATTGTGTGTGTGTGTGTGTGTGTGTGTGTGTGTGTGTGTGTGTGTGTGTGTGTGTTGGGTTGGGGCTTTTGTTGTGGCATTTTTTTTTTTTTTTTTTTTTTTGGTTTTTCGAGACAGGGTTTCTCTGTGTAGCTTTGCGCCTTTTCCTGGAACTCACTTGGTAGCCCAGGCTGGCCTCGAACTCACAGAGATCCGCCTGGCTCTGCCTCCCGAGTGCTGGGATTAAAGGCGTGCGCCACCACCGCCCGGCCCTTGTTGTGGCATTTTTATATAGTGGTTGTTTGTTTGATTTTCATTTTGTATGGGATTGGGGAGGTTTGAGAGAGAAAGATTATAAACTTGGGTAGGTAAGTGAGATAGAGAAGATCTAGGAGGCAGTGGGGAGGGAAAAACATGATCAAAAGATATTTTCCATGTAAAGTTTTTAAATAAAAAAGGGAAGAAAAAGCTCTTCATGTAATTGAGGAATATATATTTTGCCCCAATTATAGCCAGTTCTAGATTGAGGCCCTTGGGAACCAATGACAACAGCAAAACTTTGATTTCATCTTATTTTGCACTCAAAGTATTTTTTTATTTTTCAATTTTTTAAATTTATTTTACATACCAACCACAGTTTCCCCTCCTTCCTCTCCTCCTGTTCCCTTTCCCTACCTCCTTTTCTACCCTTCCCCAAGTCAACTTAAATTCTTTGCATCATATATAACACTTCAAATTTTCCAGAATGTCTACATGGTGGTTTCTGTGCACATTTAAATCTCCAGCCTTACTCTGAGATCCAGGAAGTTCGGCTTCCTGTTTCCTGGCATCCAAGATCACTTGTGGTTAGAGTTTTGTAGTTTTCCTTTTTGGTTTTTCAATTAGTAAGTCAACTCTAGACTTAATGAATGCAAGGCATATTCTCCACCACTCAGCCATGCATCCAGTCCTTCTAGTCTTCTTGTTAAAATCTATACATAAATTCTTTAAACTTGGAATTCAAGATACAGTCAAATAGCCTTTTTTTAAAAAAACTCTTTTCTTCATATATTTTATGAATGCTGGGACCAGATTGACATGTATTTCAATAGTAGTTTAAGACTTACAAATCTTCAACTGGAATAATGACATTGCTGTTACATCACAGAGGCTTTCTGAATTAAGGCTACCCAGTTCATGTGACTTAAATATGAAATGACAACTATTATTGCTATGCTATTTAGAAAGTAGGAATCTATGTGAATTTTAAATTGTTTTTCCTACCTTACACTGGTGCATTAAAAATGCTGAGTGTGTAAGTGCACAAGGACATCTCCTCTACTATTGCCAAGAATAAGTAAGAACCTAGAACATTACAGACATCAAATGAATGCTATGATGCTTCCCTTCATATTAATGCTTACTATGTTCTAATGACATCCTCTCTTCACTGTGCTTAATATTTCATTGAATATTTACATACTTTATGTAAACATAAAAGATTAACTTACTGTGTTTTTAACTCTTTGAAACTATTTTCTCTATCTTTAAATTTTTCACAATAGTATTTATGCTTTGTACATCCTTTTTTTCTAAACAAAGCTGATTCTAAAATATTTTAATTTTTCTCCGCATGGCATACTCTGTATTCCCTCGGCAAGCCAAGTGTCTTACTTTAATACTAAATTGATTTTCTCAATAGAATTGTTTTTTAAAAATCAAATGCTTTTGTATAGCAAGCATAGGATTATCACATATAATATGTACTTTTTAGACTATATTTCAGTTTTGATGAGGAATTAAGTTTAGTATCACGACCTTAGTTCCTTGGTGAATTCTGCAGGTGAGCATTTTTCTAATTCCGCTTCCAGGCTTTGTTTTTAGCAATATGTGACAGCATGAGGAGAACAGATGAATTGATCTCAAGAGCATGAAAAGGGTTTTCTATGAAAATATACTAATTTTAGGGGGGAGGTGAGGGTGTTTGGGACAGGTTTTTATCTGTGTAACAGTCTTACCTGTCCTGGAACTCACTATGTATACCAGGCTGGCCTCACAAAGATCTGCCTGCCTCTTCCTCCTGAGTGCTGGGTTTAAAGGCATGTGCCACCATGCCCAACTGAAAATATACTGATGTTTAATTATTCTCTTATTTTTAAGTTTAACTGAATTCAAAATAGGAAATTCAGCTTTGTTCTCATTATGATATCTTATTATTGTTATCAATTTTAGTATGGTATTCCTGAGAATATTCCGGAAAATGATGCAGATGACTTACCAATAGCTTCCGAACAATATGAAAATTTAGAAGCACAAGAAGGTAATACACACACTTAACTTGTGAGATCATTTGACAGAGGTTTGCTTAAAACATGATCACAGGTACCTAGCCAAATAAAAGAACTCAGGAAATTTATAATAATTAAAACAGAAGTGAAATAGCAATGCTAGCCCAGAACAACTTTCACTGAAAGCTGAAATAAGAATGTCAGTAAAAGAGTTGCCTCTGTGTGTGTGTGTATTAGTTTTTGAGAATTTCATACCTTTGTACTGTATTTACATCATCTTCATCCTTCCCACCATTCCTCCAAACCTTCCTGTGCCTCGACTACATCTCAAATTTCTGACTTCTTTGTCTATACTGTTTTTACAGGCACACTTTGTGTGTGTGTGTGTGTGTGTGTGTGTGTGTGTGTGTGTGTGTGTGTGTGTGTTTAGTGTTGCTTATATGTACATGTCTTTAGGACTGACTACTGGAGTTACATAACCTATTACAGAGTTCATCTCTGGACCTCTGATTTGACAATCCATCTGCACTTACTTTGCTATTTTCTCTGAGCCTTAGATTTAGGGCTGTATAAGTGGGGGCTGGGCACCTTATGGTCACTCCTTGCAGTTTGACAAATTGGAGATCTCGGTAATACCTCTATCTGCTGCATAAAGGGACTTCTTTGATGAGAAATAAGAGCTATATTTATCTGTCAATATAACTGTGGCTATAAGAATCAGAACACAGCAACTATATTGATATGTGAAAATGATAATAGTAGATGACCCCTAGGATCAATGATTTCTCCAGTTATGGGTAGTTGACTAGGTTTACAGTACCAGGCATGAATTGTTCATTGAATTGGCCTTAAGACCAATAAGACAGCTGTTGGTTACTCCAAAAATAAAAGTACCACTATCATATCATTGGGGATATCTTGGGTACCTTTTTCTGCTGGTGTTACTTGCTGTGGGATGGTCTGTATGTCAAATGTGTTGCTGATTGGTCAATGAATAAATCACTGATTGGTCAGTGGCCAGGCAGGAAGTATAGGCGGGACTAACAGAGAGGAGAATTGAGAGAACAGGAAGCTGGGTGAAGGAGACACTGCCAGCCGCCATCAGGACAAGGAAGATGTAAAGTACCGGTAAGCCACAAGCCACGTGGCAAGGTATAGATTAATAGAAATGGATTAATTTAAGCTGTAAGAACAGTTAGCAAGAAGCCTGCCATGGCCATACAGTTTGTAACCAATATAAGTCTCTGTGTTTATTTGGTTGGGTCTGAATGGCTGTGGGACTGGCGGGTGTCAGAGATTTGTCCTGACTGTGGGCCAGGCAGGAAAACTCTAGCTACAGTTACTTTTGATGGCTTATCTTCCCTGACACTTTGCACAGTACTATGAGAGCAGGTTTTCAAGTCAGTACCAGCTCAATTCCTCCAAATCCTGGGTGCCATCTTCAGCAACACAGTCTTACAACTAAAGATATTTTGCTCATTTCAATAAAGAAAACCAATTATTACCCAATTCTTGTCCAGTGTCATGTGTGTGTGTGTGTGTGTGTGTGTGTGTGTGTGTGTGTGTGTGTATGCATACATGCGAGTACATAATGAATATGTTCGATTCTATGACACCTTAAAATACAGATTTTAGAATGCTTGGTCATTTATGTGAGGTTTATTAATTTCTAGATGAATTGGTAAAATATTTTTATGTCTTGGACCTGGCAACATGTAGTGTTCATAAAAGTGATATACTGGTATTTCTATAATTAGAACATTTACATAAGGATCTAAATATTCATCTATAGAGTATATTTAATTTCAGTAAAAAAATTTCTAAATTCTAATTCTAATTTATTTCAATCTATTGTCATAGAGCATTATTTATCTAACTGCTTTTTTATATTTTTTAATAAACTGTGTGGATTTGTCAGAAGAACTAGAATTAGAAACAATACCGGATTTAGAACTGGAAAATGAAAATGTTTATAGTAAGAATGAAGGCTATCAAAAATTGGTATGTAACTGTTTAAACAAAATTTCTTACATAATACTATTTGGTTTAATGATATTGCCACAGGCTAAAGTAAACTACATTTCAGGCTACTGTATGCAGTCAATAGATGATAATTTAATATGAAAATGAAAGACTTATCTATTGCAAATCACATGGTATTCTTAGAATCTAGTCACACAGCTAATCATTTTCTTTTGTTGTTCAGTAAATAATATGTGGTTATTATCTGTGTTTTATGCTAAGCTCTTTACATGACTGGAGAGTCTCATGTCTGTCCATTTGAAATAGTGGGTAATATAAAATTAATGATTTCAGAATTAAATTCATTTCATAAAGGTGATTCTTTCTGCAGAAACTAAATTTGTGGTATAATAATTACACTTAGTCACACTAAGGAGCAAATTTTTTCTTTATGGTCATTGGATTGTTTCAGGGTCCTCATTTGAGGAGATAATACAGTCAAATAATCAACTAAATTGTCTATTAAAAGAATGTTTGCTTCCACAATGGAAACCTAATTTTGAAGGAACAACTAAAAATATTTTGCTCATTTCAATGAAGAAAATCACTTATTTCCCAATTCTAGTCCAGTGTCCATATATATGTATATGTATATGTATATGTATATGTATATGTATATGTATATGTATATATATATATTATGAATTGAGTTAATGTAGGTAATTCACATAGATTCAAGACACTATAGCTTTCCCTTTTCCATGATCTTTTCAGAGACACAACACACAGTAACATACTTATTGTAGTATGAGGACATTCTGAAGATATTTTTAATATTTTAAGCTTACATAAATCTTTATAGTGAATATCTACTATATGCTGAGAAATTAAGCACTGACTCTTTCAGATGGAAGCCTATGTTGAGGTGATAAGACACAAAACAAGTAAAAAGCAACTGTTTTGGGTCAGATAGGTGCGTTTTGGTGTAAAGAAAACATATGACAATGGGGGTGATTTAGGGAAAATTGTAGTTAGTACAGGATAGGAGTGAGAATGGTATTTTGTCATCAGAGATCTAAGCATGAAAGCCAAGATGTCTCAGAAGATGAATGTGTGTCCACTCAGTAAATATAAATTAGGATGGCATTACTGAACATATAGCATAGTGGACAACATCTTCTCATAACTGGCAAAGTTCTTGAATGATGAGAAAGCAAGATTTGGTTATTCTTGTAAACATGTAGAATGAAAATGTAGAAATGATGTGTTTGGGGAAAATTTCTGTTCACTGAGAAACATTTGCATACTACACCTGTACTTAGTATTCCAATAATATTGTTTAAAGATAACATAGAAAAACATTTTGGTCTTATCATTTTGTTCCAGTTTTTTTAATCTATAAGAAATAAACAAAATATGTCAGTTCTGTTAGCTCATTTTTACTGAAATGAAGCAACTTCTGCCTTGTTCCCTTCACACTTAACACGATATAATATAAATACATTTAACATGATTCAGATCTTCAATTATGACTAAGCACATAGTGTCATTGTTACAACACTTTGTGTTTAATCTTGCATTAAAGAAATGGCCCTACTAAGAATGTGAACATTTATTTCATAAACATCCTCCAACTTTGCTAGGAAGTACATATTAGTTTGATGTATTATAATATAAAAATAATTGTCTTTATTGATATATGAGCATCAGGTATTTTACTTTGTCTATAAATGTGATTCCTCTGTTCTATATTCCTTGTACATAATGGCCTGCCATGAGAAATGAAAGATGAACTTAAACTTGAGTGTATATATAAGATTCCCCATTCAGATATCATAGTCTTCAATATATACTGCATAAATTCTCAAGTACAATTTTCTTAAATCAGAAATCAAGGTATATTCATAGAAAGAAAAATAAGACCTTTCTGATACACATTACTAATGCCATTTGATGGAGTGTCTTTGACCCTTATCCACTGCAGGAAGCTTCCAGAAAAGCTGCCCATTCATCCAACATAAGAAATGATGCAGAAAAAAATAAAACAAACCAAGGTAAGAGCCATCATGAGGAGATATTATGTGAGACAAACTCTGATATATTATACCATCCAAAGAAATAATTGAATAAATTTGTAGTAAGATAAAAGACAACCAAACAGTAATAAGACCCATATGTTACCAAATTTGAGTAATGTGTAAAGTTGAGATAGTCACAGAAGGATCTATGAGTTCTCTGATACCTGAGATATTTAGGAGTTTTCATGGGGCCACTTTGGCCCTTCACTCCACTAGGTGTAACTGAAGGTGTCACACGAGGGCGAAAGTGTCTAATTGGGGCACTGTCTCCCCTGTTACTTGAAGAATCCATTTGAATTTATTTCATATACATACATATTTTAGGAGGCTTCTGCAGTGGTAGGCTTCCATGTGGCTTTTCAAATGGTCTTTAGTGAATTGTCCCTCCCCATAGTCCCACCCTGCCCTCTCTTTCATTGCCCTTCCCATTTAATCTTTCCACTGTCTCTCTATAACTATAGATTATATTATATTTCCCTTTACTTGAGTGATCCTCTCCAGCAGTCCCTTACTTGATGCAGAATCTCTGTGGTTACATGGATTTTAGCATACATGGCTACAGCTTTAAAAGCTAACATCCACATTTAAGGGAAACCATATCATATTGTCTTTTGGATCTGGATTACCTCACTCAGGATGATTTCTTCTAGCTCCATGCATTTACCTGTAAGTTTCATAATTTCCATTTTTAACAGAAGCAAAATACTCCATTGTGTAAATGTGTCACATTTTCATTATCTGTTCATTAGTTAAAGGACATTTAGTCTGTTTCTCATTTCTGGCTATTGTAGATAGAACAACAATGAACACAGATGAGCAGGTATATCTGTAGTAGGATATGGAGTCCTTTGGGTGTATGCCAGTGAGATGTATAGATGGACTTTGAGGTGGATCAATTCCCAGATTCCTGAGAAAACACCACACTGCTTTCCATAGTGGCTGTACAAGTTTGCATTCTCACCAAAAATAAGTGTTTCATTTTCACCATGCCCTCACAAGCATGAGCTCTCATTTGTTTTGTTTGTCTTAGCCATTCTGACTGGGGTAAGTCTCGAATTAGTTTTGATTTGCATTTCCCTGATGAATAAGGATGTTGAAGTGTTTCTCAGCTGCTTGTGTTTCATCTTTTGAAAATTCTCCTTTTATTTCTGAACACCATTTTTAGTTGGGTTATTTGTTTTCTGGAAACCCAGTTTTTACTTCTTTATATATTTTAGATACTAACTGCATATTAGATGTTTAAATATTCAAGTTCCTTTCCCATTCTGTAGCCTGATGCTTTGCCCAGTTGATGGTGCTCTTTGCCATACAGAAGCTTTCCTCTTCATGAGGTCCCATTTATTAAATGTGGGTCTTGGTACCTGTGCTGCCAGTGTCCTCGTCAGAAAGTCTTTTCCTGTACCGGAGAGTTCAAGCCTATTCCTCACATTCTCTTCTGTCTTATCCTGGGTATCTGGTCTTATGTTGAAGTCCTTGATCCATTTGGATTTGAGTTTTGTTCAGGTTAATAAACACAGGTCTATATGTATTATTCTTCGTGCAGCTGTCGAGTTTGGTTAGCACCATTTATAGAAGATATTGTCTTTTATCCAGTGTGTATTTCTGGCTTCTTTATCAAAAATCAAGTGTCCATAGGTGTGTGGACTTATGTTTGAGTCTTCAGCTTGATTTAATTGGTCAACATGTCTATTCTTATGTTAATACCATGTTGTTTTATTACTGTAGCTCTGTAATAAAACATGAAATCTGGGATGGTGATGCCGTCAGCCTTTTTTGTTGTTCAGGATTGTGTTAGCTATCCTGAGTTTTTTGTGTTTCTATATGAAGCTGAAAGTTTCTTTTTCAATTTCTGCAACAAATTGTGTTGGAATTTTTATGGGGATTGCATGAATCTGTAGATTGCTTTGGTATATCTCAATATATTTCTGTTAGCTGCTGTCCTAACCAGTAAAATAACAGGTATTTATGTTGAAAGAAGGGAATGAGAAGTCATTGCACCCGAAGCCTTCATAAAGGTAGTTTTCAAGCTGTCAATGTGCATGGAATTGATTATTATTTATCCTTTCTCTTTCAGTGTGGGCTGAAAAATGTCCACACCCAGAGGTAACTGCATTTTAATATTTATATTGAATAATTACATATTGGTTGAAGTCCAAAACATTGATTAAATATCTCATTTCAAAATCCATTCAGCTTAGAGATTAGTCTCATCCAATCTCCAAACCCACTGAACCACTGAAATCTGAACCAGGTAAATTTCCCAAGTCATTTTCTTCTGTTCCATGCATGTTAATACATTTCAAATGCTCGCAGTAAAGCCACTTATTTCTTGATGACAGTGATGGTACGGTTTGACATAAGCAATGACATCTCATTAGTGCCGTGCATGCTTTAAAATACATTCACAAGCGCAATATAAAGTTTTTATACATGTAAGCTCAACTTCATTCTTTAATACTCATGTTCCATTGCCTTAACTTCTCCAGTGTGTAATCCCTCTGTTTGCTAGTAACTTACAGAAGTCAATCATGAGACTAATGAGACTTCTCCAAAGTTTGAACGTGATTTATGTAGTCCTGGGTCTCAGGTTGTACACCTATAGTCAAAGCTGCCCGAAAGACCAAAGCAAAGACATATCTGAGCTCAGAGATTCTGTTCTGTCCTGGAAAAACAGCAATACACCACATCTTCAAAACAAGAAAAACAATGTTTGTGTTGTTCTAGCACTTATAGTGCACCGATTCCCTTCATGTGTGTTGCATTGTATTTTATTTACAAGGAAAATGAGTGGTATTTATAAAGCATGTCTATAATCTGTTTCAATAAAGCAGAATACACTATCATTCGGTGAAGCAGTCACTGAAAATCCTGTTACTTACTTATCTACATCTCTTGTTTGCTTTTGCATCTTTTCATTTCTCTGCACTCTCTTGTCTGAAACTCGATGTATCTGTGTCAGTACAGGCATTATCAGTAGAGAAGCCCTGTCTGGAATGTCTTACTTACTTTCAAAATCCAGTGTTAGGACCTATCAGAAACACAAAATAATTACAGAAAAAAGAAAAAGAAAAACAAATGAGATCTGCTGATCTAAGGACGACCCCAAATATAGTTCATACACGTCAAGGAGAGAAACAGATACACCTGTAAAGTGGGTTTTAGCTGAAGTGGGAAAGTTTGTACATTAATAATGGACTAGGGTAGCCACAAAGAAAGCGACACCCATTTTTCTATGAAAAGAGATGTATACTCCAGAATGAGTCATAAAAAGGCAATTCCTCAGTACAGAACAAAATGCTTCTCAACCTGTGGATTATGACCCTTTAGGGGTCAAACGACCCTTTCACAAGGGTCACCAAAGACCATTTGAAAATACAGATATTTACAACATGATTCATAACGGTAGCAAAATTACAGTTATGAAATCGCAGCCAAAATAATTTTATGGTTGGGGGTCACCACAACTTGAGTAAGCTGTACTAAAGGGTCGCAGCATTAGGAAGGTTGAGAACCATTGGTATAGAGCATAAGTATGTTGTCCTGTTCACAGATAAATGTGTGGTAAACAAAGGATAATTTTGATGAAGTAATCAGTGAATGTGTTCTCCCACAGTATCTTCAAATATGGAAACTGTAGATAGGCATATATGTCATTTATGAATTTCCAGACAAATCCTATAAAGGCATGTATGACTCAAAACTGGTCAATAGGTAGTATCTATTCAAATAAAGTGTTGATTTTTTTTTTACCATAACCATTTTTCTAAGGATGTAAATACATAGCTATACTATGTGGTTAATTGAAATAACATTTTAAAAATAACATCTAGGCCGGGCGGTGGTGGCGCACGCCTTTAATCCCAGCACTTGGGAGGCAGAGCCAGGCGGATCTCTGTGAGTTCAAGGCCAGCCTGGTCTCCAAAGCGAGTTCCAGGACAGGCACCAAAACTACACAGAGAAACCCTGTCTCGAAAAACCAAAAAAAAAAAAACAAAACATCTAACTTTAAATTATTATATTTTTATAGAATATTGTTTTGTATAATTGTTCATATTTTTTTACATAAAAATATAGATTTGTATGAAGAACTAAAAGAAGAAATGCCAAAATCTAAACTGGAAAATGAGAGAAGTTTTGATAAGAATGCAGAAAATCAAGAATTTGTATGTAAAAATTTAAATTTAAACTTCTCATTTAATATTGTTTGCTTTAATGGTGTTGGCATATCTAGCATGCTACATTTTAAACTACTTTACACAGTCAACAGATTAATAATTTTGTTTTTAATTAATATTAAAGTGAAAGCATTTAATCTATTACTAATCACAGAATAGTCTTAGAATCCTGTTACATAGCTAAATAGTTTCCTTTAATGTGTAGTAAGTAAATATCTGGTGATTGTAATTGCTTCATTTTTGACATATTCACTCACATGGGTAAAGATAAGGTCAAATGTGAGCACCATGATTCATCGTTTGAAGTAATGAATGGGTTCTTTGTATATTCTAGATACCTTCTGTTGTGTGTGTACAACTGGTTAAGACTTTTTATCACTCTGTAAGGCCACCTTGTCAATAAAATGATGGTATCCTTTGCTATACAGAAGATTTTTAGTTTCATGTGGTCTCATTTATTATGTTGGTCTTAGCGTTTATGCTACTAGTGTCCTGTTCAGAAAGTCTTTTGCTGTGCCCTTGAATTAAAGATTATTCTGTACTTCCCCTCTCTCAGATTTGATGTATCAAGCCTTATTTTGAGATACCTGGTCCATGTGAAATTGAGCTTTGTGTAAGGTGAGAAATAGGGATCTGGTTTCATTCATCTATCTATATCCAGTGTGACCAACACCATTTGTTTTTCACAAAGTAAATTGTTGGCCTCTTTTACAAAAATCAAGTGAGCTTATATGTAGCTCTTCGATTATCTTCTACTGATCAATGTCATTGTTTGGGGGCCGTTGCCGTGCTGTTTTTATTGCTATAACTATGTAGAGTAACTTGAAGTCTGTGATGATGACGCCACCATCAGTTTTGCTTTCGTTTTTTGTTTTGTTGTTTGACTACTCTTGGTCTTTTGTGTTTCTATATGAAATTTAACTTTTCTTTTTTGTTTTCTGTGAACAAGCACTGGAAACTTTTTTTCCATAGGTCATCTTATTTTTTAAATTTATTCTTCTCTCATACATTACATCCCAATTGCAGTTTTCCCTCCCTTGACTTTTCCCCGTCCCCCAGCCCAACGCCCCTGGCACAGGGAGAGATGACTGGAGTTGGAGGGCACTTGGGAGCGATGTGGAAATCTAGTGCAGTGGAAACTCCCTGGAATCTACAAGGGTGGCACTAGTGAAGACTCCTAGGAAAGGGGAATACAGATCTTGAACCAGCCATCTTCTGTACCAGGCAAGGCTTCCAGTGGTGGGACTGGGACACCAACCCAGCCACAAAAGCTTCAGCTTACAATTTTTCCTGCCTGCAACATGTATTGGGAAAATGGTAACACATAATTTGTGGGAGCATTGGAATTTTTATGAGGCTTGTGTTGAGTATGTAGACTGCTTTTGTTAGGATGTCCATTTCCCCAACTTTAACCTTATGAATATGTGATCATAGGTGGTATTTCCATGTGTGGTAACTTTTTCAATTTCTTATTTTCACTGTCTTACACCTTTCTTTGCACAGGTCTTTCACTTTTTTGGTGAGATTTATTCCAATTTATTATACTTTGGCGCTGTTTTGAATGGCAGTGTTTTCTTGATTTCTTTCTCAGCATGTCTGTTGTCTGTATACAGGTAGGCTACTAATTGTTGTGCTTAGATTTTATATCCTATTACTTTGCTAAAGATGTTATCAGCTGTTTTCTGGTGGAGTTTTTAGAGTCTTCTTTTAGAGAATTGCACCACCTACAAATAAAAAATACTTTCAATTCTTCCTTCCATTTTGGTATCTCCTTTGTCTCCTCTTGTCTTACTCTTCTAGTTAAGTATTCAAGTAATATAGTGTACAGGAAGAGGAAGAATGGTCATCCTTGTCTTGTTCCTGATTTTAGTAGAAATGTTTTGAGTTTCCTTTGTTGAAATGTTGGCTATGTGTTTGCTGTTTATTGCCTTTATTATGCTGAAAATATGCCACCTTTCCTCTTAGACTTTATCATGAAGTGATGATGGATATTGTCAAAGGCTCTTTCTGCACCTAATGACATGATCATGTGCTTTTCGTCATTGAGTCTGTTTCTGTAATGAATGATGTGAAAGTGCTAACCTCTGAGTTGGATTCATTAGAAAAGTTGTAATTCTCATTGAAAAAAAAAAGAAACAAACTGTGGTTCCATATTTGCAGTCAGTCACAGTGAGGTTGAAAGTTCATATTTTTCCTCAGGGTCACAGAATGATTTCAAAGTCTTTATTTAAAGAAAGTATTTGATCATATAGTTCAATTAATTGCCTATTAAGAGAATGTTCACTTCTAGAATAGAGGCTTTGTCATTAATGTACAACAAAGATATTCTTTAGCTCATTTGAATGAGAATTATTTCCCAGTGATTATCCACTATCCTTAGTGGGTACATTTTGAGGAACTGAGTAATGAAAAGAGTTCACATAGATGCAAAGCACCATATATTTCCATTTTACACAATCTTTTCAGAGAAACAACATACAGTAATATGCTCAGGACATGGTGAAGGCATTTTAAGATGTTTTGAACCTATATAAATTTCCTTTAGTGAATATCTGCTCTATGCTGAGATGTCAAGCCCTGAATTTATAGGTGAGGGCATATACTACAGTGATGGAACATAAGTCAAGGAAGAAGTAAGCGTTCAAATCGGATATAAGGAAACTGTAAGGTGTCAGTGTGGAGAAATTTAGGGAAGGTTGTAGTGCATACAGGACGGGAGTGAGAATCATATTTTGTGGTGAGAGATCTTTCTGAGTGTGAGGCTTAAGATACTGAACTGGGAATGAGCATGTGCTCACTCAGTGACTATCAAATAAGATGTCATTACTGGACAGAGGAAACAGTGAAAAACAAATTTCATTATTTAGTTTTATTTATTAATTTATTTTAATAAAATTTTGAAAACTTCATACATGTGTACTATATCTGCTTCACTCTCCATAATTTGTCTTTTAAATTTTGAGATTATAATAAAATAGAAATTAAAATTAGAACATTTCTCCCTTTTCATTGCTCTCCCACTCCATCCCTGACCCAGCTTGACTACCCTGTTTCCTCATACTCCCATCCCTCATCCCCTCCCCTCCATTTCCCCCCATTGCCCCATGTTTACTCATGGAGATCTCATCTATTTCCATTTCTCCCTTTTCTTTCCTTCATCTATAACCTCCCATATACCTCTGCCTGCTCTCCTTAAAATTCACAGCCTCGTTTTCATTGTTATTGCATGAGAGCATTGCAGCATTTATCCTTCTAGGTCTGGGATACCTCATTCAATATGATCTTTTCTGGTTCCATTCATTCACATGATTACAAGCAGGTTGGGGGAAGCTTCTACTTAGGCACCGGCCCAACTATTCATGTTGGAAAACATAAGTGTTGTCTTCTGCAACAAGCCCTTACCATAACACTGTGGAGCATAGTCAGAGTATTTCTGTGTCCTGGCCATTGCTCCCAAATAACCACACAGAGACTTATTATTAATTATAAATGCTTGGCCGATAGCTTACGCTTATTACTAACTAGCTCTTACAACTTAAATTAGAACATTTCTATTAATCTATGTGCTGCCCCAAGGCTCATTTACCTCATCCATGTACTTTCTATGCTGCTTCTTCCCCATCTGGCTGCCAACTCCTCTCAACTCTTGAGACTCTGCCCTTCTTCTTCCCAGGTTTCTCTCTGCCCCCCAAATCCTGCCTAGCCACTGGACAGTCAGCTCTTTATTAACCAATGAGAGTAATACATATTTACAGTGTACAAAAAGATTGTTTCACAGAATTTCCCCCTTTTTGTCTAATTAAAAATGAAGGTTTTAACTTTAACATAGTAAAACTATATATAACAAAAACAGTTATCAAGTAAGAATTATGGTTATAATATCCAGACCATTTTATTGGCAAATTTAGAGAAAATATTTCTACAACAATGGAGAGCAACCCATAAGGTTGTGGAGAGCAACCAATAGCAACATGATAGCGTGTGAACAGAGATTAAAAAAATGCTCAATAAAATAACTTGCAAACTAAAAACAGACACACACCAAAAAGATAATCCACCAATGACCAAGTTGTTTTTTATCTCAGAGATGCAGAGATGGTTCAAAATACACAAGTCAATAAATGAAATAAACTACATAAATGGACTTAGAGACAAAAATCATATGATCTTCTCAATAGATGCAGATAAGGCCTTTGCCAAAATCCAATAGACCTTCATGATAATAGTCCCAGAGAGTAGGACAAGAAGGAACATACCTCAACACAATAAAAACTCTGTATGAGAAACCAACATCATCCTAAATAGAGGAAAACTGAAGCAATCCCACTGAAGTCATGAATGAAGCAGGGCTCACTCCTTTTTAATATTGTGTTCCAAGTATTAGCTGGAGCAATAAGTAAAGAGAAGAAAATTAAAGGGAGACAAATAGGAAAATAGAAATCAATACTGTTTAAAGAAAATTTCCTGTTTATAGTATAGGCATTTATTTGTTTTATAAATATCCTACAAATTCATTTGTGAATAAAAATTAGTATTAAGCATTCTTAATCTGAAAGTAATTACTTTTGTTTATATTGCGCATCAGGTCCTACTCTGTGAATGAGGTGCCTTTCTTCTGTATTCCTCTTACATAATGAGGTGCCATGAGAAATGAACGATAGATTTAAGCTTCAGTGTGTTTATTAGATTTCCCATTAAAATATCTTTGTCTGCAGTATGTACTTCATAGATTTTAAAGTACAATTTTTGTAAAATTAGGAATTTAGACATGTTCTTAGAAATCACATAAGACCTTTCTGAAACATGTTAACAATACTCATTTGACAGAGTGTGTCTGATGCTAATGGACAACAAGAAGCTTCCATGGAAGCTCCGCATTCATCCAATATGAACGAAGATGCAGAAGAAAATGTAATAAGGCATCTAGAGAAAAGTAAGTAGTACATTTTTTTGGAAAGGAAAGGGTTTATTTTGCTTATACTTCCAGGTAAGTAGTACATTTTAAAAGATACTTGTTATATAGAATGTTTGTGTAGAACAGAAACCTACCTGTTATAAGTAGACAAAAAATTACCAACTAAATATATAGTAAGCAAAAGGACGAGTAAAATGGTTATCAAATCTGAGCAACAGGTAACTTTAGATAGCCAATAAAGGAGTCCTCCCTCCCATACCTCTCAGGTATCCATATGCAATTTGCATTATCTTCAGGAATATATGAAATAAATATGAATATATAAAAACAGGATTGCTTTTTTGTTTTGTTTTTACTTTTATTGATTCTTTGTGGATTTCACATCATGCATTCTGATCCCACTTATCTCCCTGTCTCTTCACATCCACCCTCTGCCCTTGCAACCTCCCCCACAAAAAAAAAATTTAAAAGAAATACTGAAAACCAAACCAAACAAAAATAAACAAGCATAGAAACAAAACAAAAAAAGGAAAGAAAAGAAGACTCTCGTGGAAGCTGCAGCGGCTGGTTGAGAGTTTACTCTTTAGTGCATTCAACTTTACTTGCAAGTGTTCATTGCCAGGAGTCGTTGGTCTGGCTCAAGGCCTCTGGTTTCTGCCACACCACCAATAATGGACTCTTACTGAGGTTCCTCCCAGAGGACTCCTGTGGTCCTGTGTTGTGGAGATCCTGCTGTTCTGGATCTGTAGGTTTGTCCTCTTCACATGCTCCGACAGTTCATAAATGGGATGGATGTTGGGTTGGCCAACCCATAGCCCTGGTTCTGGGCCTGGATGTGGGCCTGGGGTAAGCTGGTTGGTCAGCTTGCTAGCTTTCCCTCATCATCGCTACCCAGATGAGCTCTCCAGCACTGCCTCGACTAATTAGGTGAGCTGGCTCACCTAATGCAGCACATAGCAAGGAGCAGGGATAGTTCTCCTGCTCTTGGGCCCTCAGATCTGGGTTCCACTCACTCACATCACCAGAACCAGCTCTACTGTTTGGCCCAGGCAAGGTGCAAGGCCCTCTCTCCGATAGCCGTAGGAGGCATATGAGGAGGGGGTGTCAGCTCTCCTGCCCTCACGTCCTCGTCCTCAGTGCTGGCTCACCTGTGACCCTGACAACAGGGCCAGCTCTAGTGTGCTGTCCTGGTGGGGTGCAGGGTTAATTTTCTCACTCTGGTTACCCTGGGGTCAGCTCTTGCCTGCCACAGGTAACAAAGGGCATAGGGGAGAGGGCTTCTTTCCCTCACCCATGACCACATGCATGGGAAATGATGGGGTGGGGGCGGGGTCAGCTCTGTTGCTCTCACACTCTCAGGGCTGACTCACTTGCATCCCCACACCAGGTCAGCTCTAGTGTGCTGCTCAGACAGGGTACAGAGCCTGCCCTCCTGTGTGCTACAGCCAGGGAGGGTCAGGGCTAGCTCTCCCCTTTTGTGACCTCAGGGCCAGCTCCTTCACCTGCTGCGGGTGGTAATGGGGGAGGGGAGAAGGCATCTTTCCCTCATGCATGCTACCACACAGCAGATGTGAGGGGGCAGGGTCAGCTCTCCAGAACAGGATTGTTTTGAATTAGCTGATTCTGTTTTGTTAGGAAAATGATATCAGAGTAAATTAGGGTGCACTTTTTGTAAATGCTTCAGGCTGGTGCTTGTCTGCATCTGTGTGTGTTACAATGTACGTTATCAGTTAGTTCAGTGCTGTTGATCAGTCATGGATTCAGGTCTGTAGCTATAAATACCACAGTATAACATTAATACATGTTTTCTTTTGTCCTTATCATGCACAATTAACATATTTTAAGAACCTTATCCTAAACTCCTCTAGAGCAATTCTTGCAAGCTCTAAATGTAAAGTTCTCAGATCCATACAACTTGTATGCTCTTGTTTCTTTATTTGTAAATGTTTATACTTTGTTTTAATTTTGTTAATTTTTCTTATTATTGTTAGTGTTTCTGTTTAGGGATTTTTTTTTTAGTTACAGGACACATCACAAAGCACCCAATGAATTTTTTCACCATAGCAAAATGTGCAACAGAAAAAGACAATGTAACACAAACACCATAAAATAGTTCATGTGGGTCATTCACACCTAACATCAAGGGATAATGAGAGTCCAGTTCTGCACGGCTTCAGATTTGTACATCTATTAAGTTATTGACGTTCTGTTTCGGATTCTGGACTGTGATCATTTTATATATTCAGTATTCCTGCAAAGTCCCTTAATTCAGACCTGAAACACATCACTCTCTATTCTTACCTTCTCTTAAACCATTTCCCTAACTTACCTGTGCCACATTCAGTCTTCAAGGACATGTAGAAAGATCTCCTTGCACTGTAATTGTAAACATGAAGGTCTAAGCATGTAGAAATTACACATTAGACTTATATAACCTGAGTCCTTCCCAACACTGCATAGTGTGCTCTTTCTCTTCCTGGGCTATCCTAGGCCAACCACAGGGAAAGCAACACCCCTTTACCTTTCACATGTTGGTACATATAGAACATTCTGACATGTAGTATGCGACAAAGTGTATAGTTTACAAATTATTACTTGGGAAAACGAGAATAAATTTTTACACGTTATAACAATGAATAGCTTTTTATCTAAAAGCTCATTGTAGTTAGTAACAAACTCTATGCACTTGTCAACAGAAACTGTCATGGAAGACCAAAAGCAGACCTCAGGAGAAGAGCAGAAACAGCACAGTGGTGGAAAAACTAAGCGGTCATTTGTAAGTAAATCTTTAAATTTAAATTACACACTTTATGCTGTTTCCACAATAATGTTCCATAGGCCGAATAAGGTTAAATTTAATATAACTTTTAAATTTAATACATCAATAGGAAATGTTGTTTTAAATAACATTTTTATTTAGTCTTTGAGACCTTCATACACCACTGACTCCCTCCAAATAATCCTGGTACTCAACCATCTTCTTCTGGGCTTAATGTCTTTTTTAAAAATATTATTAATAGCCTGCTGAGTCCAATTAGAGCTGAGCATCTGTGCATGTGTGAAGACACTGCTGGCACATGAGCAACCTGCCAGCAGCCACAAGCCCACAGATAAATTAGTCCCCTCCTTTCACAACCATCAGTTGGGGCCTCTGGAGCCTCTTCCTCATTCATGCTGGAATCTTGACTGGCCTGATCTTGTGCAAGTCTACTGTAAGACACGTAGCTGCTTTGAGTTGATCTGCACATCAGCTACGTCATGTCCCCAAAGGAACATTTCAAAGTCCTTCTCTCCAAATTCAGACGCTTACATTTTTTTCTGATCATTCTTCCTCAATGTTTCCTGAACTTTCAGTAGTCGGAGGTTAAAACAAATGACCCTTCTGGAGATGAGCACTCACAGTGGCTTATTCTTATCATGTTAAATAGTTAAGAGTCTCTGCATTAACCATGTCCTCTGCAAAAAGAATCCTCTGACCAAGGTTGGGAACAGAACAAACCTATGGGTATAAACCTAAGTAATACTACTAGTAGATTCTCCTCATGCAGCCTATGGCTTTCCCAGGCATAAGCTTTTGACAAGTTTTACAGCATCAGACATTAAAGCCCTCCTGTGCAGCAGGTCTCACATTCAGTCAGAATGTGGTTGGTTATTCACATAACCGCCATGCAACCAGTGTAGACAGCTTGCCTAGCCAGCTAGTGTTGTTATGTGAAAGGTCCAGGGCTGGATAAGTCCACTGATACATTCCACCACCCAGGGTCCGAAGCACACCTTCTGTTGCTGTGAAAGCCAGAGTTTTCTTGTCAGTTAGGGATTGATTTCTGAATGGCCTGTAACCAGACTGTGTGCTGTCTTCAGCAAGGGAGTCTTACCATTTAGTTATGAAAAACAACAATCTGTAGCAATAACCTGTGTTCTTTTGGGTGCCGTGGAGGCCTCCGTGACCAATAACTCATAAGGAGGTATCCTGCCCCTGGTTCTTGGAATTTCACCAAAAACAAACAAACAAACAAACAAAAAACCCCAAAACAAAGAAAAAAAAACCAAGAAACAAAAACCAACTCATGACTCCTGAGGAAAGTCAACACATTCCAGGTGCCTCTCAACAAACCCTTTTTAGTTTGTTTAAACGTATTTTAAAGTAGTTTGCAAACTAGTAGCTTCTGCGAGGCTTCCTGCAGCCTCAGTTTATGTTGTTACACCTCACTCCATGCTCCCACTTACTCTCTCACCCTTGACCCTTTAGCCAGCGTAGGCTCCCAGTGTTGCTCCTTGTCACCCGTGTTCTACTGCCCTTCTAATAATATTTAATTTCATTTTCATGATCATAGGTTTCTTTTTTTTTTTTTTTTTTTTTTTTGGTTTTTCGAGACAGGGTTTCTCTGTGTAGCTTTGCGCCTTTTCCTGGATCTCGCTCTGTAGACCAGGCTGGCCGATCATAGGTTTCTATATAGCTTTTTCTTAGCCCTTCATTTTTATTAAGCATTTCCTCTCCCCCATCCTCTACCCTTCCATGACTGAAACTATCAACATCCAGTATGCCCCTTCTCTGGTTTGATTTTACCTGTATTTTACTATCTCCGTATCAATCCATAATACGCCACATCTAATTAAGTGGCTTCCTCATGTCATCCAAGTTAAACATACAAGAGTCTAGGATGCATACATGAGGACAACATACGAAATTTGTTTTTCTGATCCTGGCTGGCCTCAGTGAGTAAAACTTTTTCTAGTTCCATTCATTTATTTGTAATTTTTATTATTTCATTTTTATTTACAGCCCAGTAATATTCCATTTCATGTATACACCACGTTGTCCTTATCTATTCATCTGCTGGTGGATATCTAGATTGATTCTATATCCTAGGGCTTGTGAATGGGATTCTTTCCTTGATTTCTTTTTTATTCAAATATTCACTATTGATTTCGGTGTTAATTTTTTTTTTTTTTTTTTTTTTTTTTTTTTGGTTTTTCGAGACAGGGTTTCTCTGTGTAGCTTTGCGCCTTTCCTGGAACTCACTTGGTAGCCCAGGCTGGCCTCGAACTCACAGAGATCCGCCTGGCTCTGCCTCCCGAGTGCTGGGATTAAAGGCGTGCGCCACCACCGCCCGGCAATTTTTTAGGCTGCTAATCTGCTAAAGTATTTATCATTTATAAGTTTTTTGTATGTGTGTAGAGTCTTCACAGTCTTTACAGATGTTAAAATCCTACCATCTGTAAGTTGAGACATTTTGAGTTCTGTGACTGTGTCCTCTAATTTTCTTCTTGTCTTATTGCTCTAGCGAGGACTTCAGCTCTTTGTTGAATATATATGGAGAGAGTGAACAGTCTTTGTCTTGTTTTTCATCTTAGTGCAAATGTTTTTATTTTTTCCTCTATTTACCAAAATATAGGTCATAGACTTGTATACAGCTTGTATAATTTTGATATATTCTCTATCCACACCTCACCTCTCCACAACTTTTATTAAGGTTCAGATGTTCAAATTTTGTGTCTTTCCTGCATATATTGAGATGATCATGTGGTTTCTTTCATTCTATTTATGTGATAGGTAATATCTATTGATTTACATACTTTGATTTCTCCCTGCATTCTGGGATGAAGTAGAGTTGGTCATGAGGAGCAATCTTTTTATGTGACCTTAAATCCACTTTGCCAGTATCTTTTTTTATTTTAATTTTTTATTTTTATGTGTATGTTTTGTCTGCATGTATTTTTGTGCATCACATGTGTGCCTGATATACTCGGAGGCCAGAAGAGAGCATCAGATTCCCCGGAAATAGAGTTACAGACAGTTATGAGCTGTGATGCAGATGCTGGGAATTGAACCTGAGTCCACTGGAAGAGTGGTCAGAGCTCGTAAATGCTGAGTTGTTTCTCCAGCCCCAGTTTTTTAATATCTCATTTAGAAGGTTTACATCGATGTTAATCATGGAATCGATATGTGGTTTTCTTTTCTTTTTGTGTGGTGTCTTTATATAGTTTGGGTATCAAGGTAATACTAGATTCATAAAAAGAATTTAGGAGATGTCCTTTCTTTTTCTATTTCATGAAATAATCTGAATAACAAGGGTGTTAATTCTTCTTTCTGGTTCTGTAGAATTCTGTAACTAATTCATCTGGTCCTGGGCATTTTTTAGTTGATAAACATTTTATTACTTCTTCAATCTTGATAGTGGTTATAGACACACTTAAATCACCTCTTTCATCTTGACTTAATTTTTGTTATATAGTATGAATCTAGAAATACATCCATTTCTTTTAGATTTTGCAATTACATGGAATGGAGATTTTTAAAGAATGTGTTTTGTGATTTCTGAATTTCATTGCAATTTGTTTTAATGCCTCTTTTATTTCTTACTTTACTAATTTGTGTCTTCTCTCTCATTTGGATAAGGATTTTTTCAATCTTATTTATCTTTACAAAGAATCAATTTTCCATTTCATTAATTTTTTTGAAAATTTTTGGATTTCTGTTTTATTAGTTTCATCCCTGATTTTGATGAGCTTAGTTAGAATGGCTTCGATATAGTTACAATCATTCTTTTGAATTCTTTGTCCTGAAGTTCATCCATGTCATTCTCTTTGGAGGTCTCTATTACATGATGAGTAATTTTTGGAGAAAATGTTTTAATTTGTTAGTCAGATTTTCCTTCCTCTTTTTCTTTTTTTCAAGTCACTTTTTATGTTCCAGTGGAGGCATTTAAAGTGATCAGGAGGTACTAAAACTTGATAGGGCCAAGATGCGATATTTCCTCTCTGTCACTGATATTGAGGACCACAAGCTCGAGTACCAGCATCTGTCTAATGCCTAGAACAGGGTTCCTGTTTCAATACAGGTGGTGCCTCACAGGTGAAACCCAGCCACCTAGAGGAATGGTCTCAAGCAGTATAAACAGGTCTAACCAGGGGAATGAGAGTCTCTTGCCTGGTTCTGGAGGTTGCCAAGTGTCATCGGTGGGGCTAATCTCTAGAAAGCAGGGCCCTCACTTGGTGCACGAGGTCATGCTGCCTGGGATCCTGAAGGAAACTCCCTGGGCCTCATATTGGTATAGGAGACCATCCAAGTCAGGACTCAAGACAAAATCCACAGTGTTCTTATGTGGCCGCAAGGGGAAGTCAGGATCTTTCATGTGGTTCTAGAGTTTCAGGGACAGTAGAGGAAGCCCTGAGCCTAGAAGCCAGAGTCCCTCACTTAGTGAAGGAATCCTAGTAGGCTGGGCTCTGGGGGCCTCTATTCTAATAATATTGTAATTTATTCTAAAGTTGAAAATATACTTACAATATACAATGACTCATAGTTGTATTTTTCAGTTGGATGGAATGGTTTAAATCTTTCATAATATTGTTTGGATTTTCATTTTATAAACTCCTTATTTTATACAATCTCTTTCAGAGCATGTATAAATCTCTATAACAATTTCTATAAAAGCATGTTATTGTGCATGGTGTAGCAAAAAACATAACTCTTCCCTCCACCACAAGAAATAGAAGAGAAAACATAGAGAAAAGAAGTTAAGAGTTATATTTTGTTTTAAAAGACATTAGAAAGCCTGTTTATCTAAAACATACACTCAATCTTTTAGCTCAGAAATATTAGCATTTAAATACGCCATGATGGATAAAAAGTGTTAACTATCAATGTAATGTTTATCTCACGAGTCAACAACAGGCTAAAGCAAGACTGTCGTAGAGAGAGATATAGACAGACAGACAGACAGACAGATAGATGGACAGAAAGATATACATATACATACATATGGATATATGGATATAGATGTGTGTATATGTTTTGGGTCACATTGCAACAGTTCAGGAATATTAGGAAACAAGGCAGGAGAAAGACGTGGGATGAAGAATATGAACAGTTTCAAACACAGGAAGTAAATGAAGGAAAATGGAGCAGCGTCTATGTTGGAGGGTGAGAGAATATATTCTGCAGAAAAGGAATAGGAAGGTGTTGTAAATTTAATGAGAATATAAATGAGTTTATAGTACAAAGCTTTCATTCATAAGGAGAAAGTTATTCCTAAACTCCCTCCATGTTTTCTTCACTGTTATCAAGTTACTAGAGTTAGGATCCAGTTTAGAGTTTAAGGCTAGGTTTAGTATTAATATTAGGCTTCAGAATATGTAGTTAGAGTGGATTTAAGGTAAGAGTTAGGTATTAGTATTAAGGTTCACAGCTGTTATCATGATGCACTATGGGGATATATAATTATTAAACAGAATGTTCATGATGGATGAAAGATGGATCATACAAAAATATCTTTATTACACACAGTGCATTTTATATATAGCGGCATTTTATGAATGCTCTCACTAGCTCCTTACAGAGTAGTCCATATAGTTTTGTAAAGCATAAGAGAGCACTGTGCATTTTAAACAGCTTATTCTCATCTTGGAACTAGGACAAGCCTGCCACAATTGCCCGACACCTTCTCTGACCATCCATCCACAGCAGGACAGCCGAGGAGGAAATCTGCCCTTCTCCACTAATTGTTTCAAGAAAAACCATGTGTTTATTTTGTGTTTTATTATATTATGTTATATTATAAATTATACTATTCTATTATCTTCAGTGTTTATTTCTGTGTGTTTATTTTTTATTGTTCTGTTACATAATTAGTTATCTTCAGTGTTTATTTTATATTTACCTTCCTTTCCTTGATGTAAATATTGTCTATGTGTATATGTTTATTCAATTTATAATATACATCTTTTTAAAAAGCATCATTTTGAGTGTCTAGAGTTATTGAATAAATATAATTATGTTATCCATTCAAAGTTTTTTGAGTCCACTTGAGTCTGTAATTCCCTTAAGCTCTTCTAGTTACTAATGCAGTCCTACAGCACTTGAAGAGGGTCATTGATGGTCCAGTCACACCTTCTTTATGTAAGTGAGCACTGCTTTAGTTAAACCATTGCATTGGAACACGTTTCTACATCATCATTTACAATCTGGTATAAATATATACACAGGAATTTTCTGTTTCAGAAACACTGCTATAAATGAGAAAGTGTATGTGACATACCAATATTTGGTTTTAAGACTGTTTAAGCCTCAGAACAAGCCCTGATGATTATTTATTTTGAATAATATCTGTACAGTAGAATTCTTCTGTCATTGGTGGCAAGGATAGAAAGAGATGAGGAGATTTACTATGAAATTTTGTCTGTTCTCTGATACTGTATTAGTTCTTTAAGTCATGTGACAAACAACATTTGACAAAGAAAGGATGGTTTTGGCACATCATTTTAGAGAATTTAAGTCCATCTGGATGAAAAAAGCATGGTGTAGTAATAACAAAAGCTTTCTGGGTGCCTGACCCAAAGAGCTTTCTCCCAGAGTCCACAGAAGAAACTACAACCAGTTAGGAAATCTACTTATCTGAGAGTAAGAATAAATCAATGCACACTATGCTCTTTCATTCCATAACTTTATTGTTCTAAGTAACTTTCTGATCTCTTTGTTGTTCTCTTTGTTCTACCACTTTGCTAAATCTACAGCTTCTTTTCAGCTCTCATTCTTAGCTCCTCTCTTGCCTGACTATCCATACATTTGTAACAGGAGAGTCCTTGCAATCCTGAGAAAAGTTTCAAAACCCTCAAGGTCATAGCACATCCCTAGAATAGACAGTAAGGAGCAGAGCCATTACCATGGTAACATAAGGTTTCAAGGTCTCAGGACCAGAGGGAGGAGGCACAGTGCCCAGTGTGACAAACTCTGAGACATAGTTTTTTATCATCAGACTTGACAAGTGAAGAATTGGCATGTTTTTTCTTAGGGTGTTTTGTGTTAGTAACCTTGGTAGACACCTGCGACTCTGACCTTGTGCCTAACTGTAAATTTGTAAACTTATGATCTATATACAAAGGACTTTAGTCTAGTTTGAACTCACTCTGAGGTAAAAATGAACTAAATGTGTGCAGTTTGTGTTAGACTGAGGAGAGATTATTATATTCTGTGTTAGTCTGAGCAAAAGGAACAAAGCAGATTTAAGTGTTTCAGTCTCACAGGAAAATAGATCTGGATATGAAGCATATCCTAGTATATTTTCTATGTATCAAAATTATACAGCTAAGTGAAAAAGTCGCCTTCCTGACCACCCACAGGTATTTGTGCCCATAATATTAAGATGTAATCATGAGATTACATATATAAACTACATAAAGATACATGATAATGGGGAGATATCATAGCTGTAATTGTGTAAGAAGTTTACAACAAGAAACAGCCAATTCATTCAAAAGGCAATAACTCCAATATATGCCATGCATGGCTTAGTCCTCTATCAGAACCAAAGGTTCTAATAGACTGACCTTTTGAACACTAATTGTCACCTGCTATATAACCCCATGGCCTTTTGCTACCAGCAGCTCTCAATATAATAAATCAGTGCAAGGTGGCCAGACTGTGAGGTGGCAGATATTGATGTTATGGTAGACCTATAAGCTGTGAAGTTTTGAAACTAAGGATTGGGAATAATTGTCAAAGGGATGGTTCTAGTGACCTACTGTATAGGGCATGCCTACCTTTTAAAGACCCCACAGCTTTTCAAAAATGACACCACCACTTGAGGAACATTTAAATACTTCATACTCCTGTGGAAGGCATTTCACAAATAAATCAGAACATTCCATACATAAGGCTCAAGACTTCTTATAATGTAAATTGCGTTTAGTCCAACTTGGAGTATCCCCATATGATTAACAATTCCAACAGTGTGCAAAAGTCCAAAGTTCCAAATCTCTTCTGAGTCTCAAAGCTTTGGTCCTTTGCAAAATCAAAATGGATGTTGCATCCTTATACTACACAATGTCACAGAATGAAGGCCAACATTTTAAAAGGAAAGTTTCAGTAATAGAAAGGAAAAGCTTGATCAAAGCAAGAAAAAATCCCAATGGGAAAACACTAAATCATGTAGCTCCAGGTCCACCAACTGGAGAATATGACTCCATGAAATGAACACCAAAGGGCATAGGCAGACCCTCTTCAGCCTTGCCTTCTACAGTCCACCTGGCCTTTCTTCCAGGTTTGCTCAACACGTTGACTTCAGGTTTCTTTACACACACCCCACATCCCTGGCATCTCCAGCATCCTAGCAAGTCCATGGCAACTTCAACCTCACCCTTATGCATAGCCTACTGTGGAGCTGACAGTATGGAAACCTACTACACATTACCTGAACAACCTGGCTTTTCCTAAAATCTTGGTACAAGTCTTCATGCCTCCATAACTGTTGCTGTCCTAGTTAGTGTTGGCTTTCAACTTGACCCAGCCTAAGTGTGTAGTTGTTGTTTTCACTCTTTGGCTCTAGTCTTTTGGGGTGCCTACCACCCAGCTACCAAATAAATACACACAACTAGAGGCTTATTCTTACTTAGGAGTGCCCTGCCTCAGCTTGGCTTATTTCTAGCCAGCTCTATCTTTTGCCTCTGGGCTTTTACCTTTCTCTATTTCTGTATACCATTCTTTACTTATTACTCCATGTCTTGCTGGGTAGCTGGATGCCTGGCCCCTTGAATCTTTCTCCTCTCACTCCTTGATCTTTCCTCCCAGATTTCTCCCTCTATATATTCTCTCTGCCTGCCAGCCCTACCTATCCTTTCTCCTGCCTTGCTATTGGCAGTTAAACTCTTTATTAGACCAATCAGGTGTTTTGGACAGACACAGCAACTCAGCTTCACAGAGTAAACAAATGCAACACAAATAATGCAACACATCTTTGCATTATTAAACAAATGTTCCACGGCATAAATAAATGTAACACATCTTAAAATAATATTCTACAACATAAATGTGTATGAGTGTATCATCTCAACTGAGTGACTCTTAAGATCAAGTTAGTCTGTGGCCATGTCTGTGAGAGACTGTCTTGACTGATCAATGATGTGAGGAGAATCTAGCACACTATGCGTGGCACCATCACTCAAGAGTTAGTCCTGGGCTGTGTAAGAAAGCTAGGTGATCAAGACAGAGTGAGAGCCAACAAGCCATGTTCCTCTATATTTTTGACCCTGAGTTTCTGCCATATTTCTCCTTCTGGATAATGACATGGAAGTGGAAGTGGAACCTAAAAAACCCGTCCCTCTTCAAGGGTCAGCATGTTTTATCACAGTAACTAGAACACTAGCTTTCTGCATATTTAAAAACTATAGAAGAACACAGTACCAGTTCTGCTGCCAACTGGAGAAGTGACTGGGATTTTGGACCACAGCTGTAGTGGCTTCTGAATGCTGGGGATGGAGAGAGCCCACCCCCAGAACAAAACAAAACACTTCTTCTCCAGTCTCCCTGTTTTAGAATAGTTCACAGAAATATATTTCATCTGAACCATAATTTTCTTCTTTACAAAATAAAGAACACAGTTGCAACCTATTACACAGTTATACAAATAAAATAACATACATGAGAGAAGAAAATACACAATGCTTTATTAAACTAAGGTTTTATTTTTAACTTTAATTTTCTGTAATAACTTACACTGTTAGGTATGATTTTACAGAACCTAAATTAAGATTTTACAGTATTATGATCACGACTACCATACAGTGTGTTTAAAGCAAATTATACTGTGTTCATTAACATCACTAAAAAGAAACAAGACCCAGATATCACAACTAAAGCAGAATTCTGTTCCTTGTAACACTTGTATTAACTGAAGTTATTTGGATCAATGCTAATGAATTGTTGTAGGGTAAAATTCAAATATCTGTGCTCTCAAAAATCAACAAAATTATGACTATATAAAGTGATCATTAATATTCTAATAACAAAAAAACATGAGAGTTCATGGGGAGCAGTATTCTTAAAGGACGAGAATAACAACTCCTCTTTTTAAATGGGGATGACTTTACTCATTCTGAAGGTGACCGTGGTGAGGACACCTAGGGATGGAGGACATGAAACTTGAAGCGGCCATCTTCTGTAACCAGGCAGGATTTCCAGTAGCAGGACTGGGACATCAACCCAGCCACAAACCTTCGACATATGATCTGTCCTGCCTGCGAGATGTGTTAGGACAATGGTGGCCCAGATCTTATGGGAGTGACCAACTGATGACTGGTCTGATTTGAGTCCCAAGCCACAAGAGGGAGCCCAAACAATAAGAGTTGTAATAACTACTAGTATACTTATTTCTAGTTTGATTAATGTAGGTAGTAATCATGAACTGAATATGGTAATTTAGCTGGCTGAGATAATAATTTAAATAATAGTACAGATTAGGGGATTTATTGATAGAGGAAGGATACAGACCAACACTTTCAAGGTAAGGGCCTAATGGCTTATTCAACTGGCTATAGAACATGGTGTGGTAGTAGCACAAGGATTATGAATTCTTAGGAGTAGGTTGAACACCTAAAATCTAGAATTATTAATTCTCTGTGGTGTATTGTATCAAAGTAACTCCTGGTCATAGTTTTTCTCTATATATCAAGGAATACTTGATATATTCATTATGTTATGTAGCAGTTTCCTTCCCCCACTGAATCAGTACATCATACAGGAAAGCTCCTTAAGACACAAGATAAACAACTCAAAATAGCTTCAGGAAGTCCCTGAAACTGACCAGATTCACTAGCCCCCTATCCCCAAGAGTAAACA